TTTTCAAAGATGAACACAACATGGGCTTTTTCCCAGGCATCAGTGACTTCCCCCAGTCACCATGATGATAGATCATCCTCCGGTAGATGACAGACAACAGCCTCGTAATCACCCCAGCTAGCCTCTCCAGCACCCACGGGTGAATATTCTCCAGTCCCATCCATGTGAATACCTTCAGCTTTGAGCAATCCCAACCCATGGCTCCCTGCTACTGGCTCTCCCTCTGCTTTCCCAGCCACCAGGACCTGCCGGGCTGGGAGAGGCTTTGCCCATGAAGGCTGAGGCCAGGAAGGCACCAAGTACTTGAGCCTTCCTCATATCGTACCTTGTTGGGTCATCTTCTCCACATTTGCACTCGCATTTCCCCTGAACTTCCTTTTGCTCCTAGCATACCTGTAGGATCCCATCTTATTACACCTAATATCCCCACTAGCCCTTGCTGCAGCTGGGCTTTGGCCCATCTGATTTCATCCCTAAGGGCCCAAGCAATACTTTTACATTCTTCTCTCTGTTGCCTTGTCTTGTTTCTGCTTCTCTTTTGTGAGCTTTTTGCCTTTTAGCTCTTCAAGAAGGTCCTTGGTTAACCAAAAGTCCTCCTACCGAAATTCCCTGTCTTTTTACACAACGGGATAGTTTGTTCCTAGGTTTCTTTAAAAGCCAGCCCATGCTCTTGGGCACCCCATCCTTCCAGGGGTATCCCCTGCTGCTCCTGGGCTACCTTGCCCAGCAATTCCCTAATCGAGCCAGCCTGCTCTCCTGCAGCCTGGAGCCCAGCGTTGCCGCTCACCTTTCCGGCCTCCCTCCAGATCCTGAATGTGGCTATCTCACGGCGCCTTCAGCCCTAGCTTCCTCTGTGGCCACATTCACCACCAGCTCCGCCCAGGTTGTGATCAGCAGTCTAAATGCCTGATTCTCTGTTATATTTTGTCATTTATTTTCCATGTTAACGTCTATAGTGAGAAGTCAGAGTTTAATTTCAGGTCCTTCAGCCTTTGGTTAACAAGAAGAAGAAGCCATCTGCTTAGCAGCTTAGTCTTGGTTAGGATGGCCATAGTAAAAGCATTTGCTTACTCAACACAGCGATACAGCCTGTGGCATTTGGGGAAAACAGTAAAATAGTAGCACTCACCAGGATGCTTAAAATTTTCCTTTCAAGAGCTTGAGGATATTTTCCCCTTCCTTCTGTGGTTTAATGGGCAGTCAGGGTGTAGTCATATGTGACTCCATGATAATTAGGACACTGTCCTGAATAGCACAGAGGCATCTGCTCAGGTTGGCGGGGAGGCGGAAGGATGTGGGTCTTGACATTACCCAGTTCTATATTCAGTCAAGAGTCCAACTATGTGGGGTTTCTGTTGTTGATTTGTTTTTAGGTATAGGTCATGTGAGATCTGAGCTGGGATGGAGCATGACTCACATACCACGTGGGAATTCAATGGCTCTTTCTATCAGCCGTCAGCTTTCCTCATGATGGGCATCCCAGGGCTGGAAGCCCTTCACCATTGGATCTCCATCCCTTTCTGTGCACTGTACTTTGTTGCTCTCTTGGGGAACTGTATGATCCTCTTCATCATCAAGAAGACTCAAAGTCTTCATGAACCGATGTATTACCTCCTCTCTATGTTGGCAGTCACTGACCTGGGCTTGGCTTTATGTACACTGCCTACGACTATGGGCATTTTTTGGTTTAATATCCGAAGGATTGGGTTTGATGCTTGCCTCACTCAGATGTACTTTATCCACATACTGTCCCTGACCGAATCCTCTGTGCTGCTGGCAATGGCATTTGACCGGTTCATTGCTATCTCCCATCCCCTGAGATACTCATCAATATTGACCAAGACAACTATTATAAAAATAGGGCTGGCAATTATATTGAGAAGTGTGCTTTCCCTCCTTCCAGTACCCTTCTTGCTCAGGAGATTAACCTATTGCAAGAAAACTGAGCTTTCTCATTCATTTTGCTTCCATCCTGATGTCATGAACCTAGCATGTGCAGATATAAAAGTCAATGTCTTCTACGGTATGATTATTCTCTTATCAACGGTGGGAATGGACTTCATCTTCATTGTACTGTCCTACGTCCTAATCATTAAAACTGCTATCAGCCTTGCAACCAAGGAGGAGTGTCTCAAGACTATGAATACATGTGTCTCCCATATCTGTGCTGTCCTAATATTCTTCATCCCAATGATTGGACTGTCCATGATCCATCGCTTTGGAAAGAACGTCCCTCCCTTGGTTAACACCCTGGTGGCCTATACCTACCTTATAATTCCCCCTGCTCTCAACCCCATTATCTACAGCATAAAATCCAGCCATATCCGGGGGGCTTTGCTCAGAGCACTGCAGAGGAAGAGCTAGCCCAGCTGGTAGCTTCCTCCACCAGTTCTGGTAGAAAGTGCTAGGGGACTGGTTTCTTGGCACTCCATCTGCTGGGACGACTGTTGTTAGTTAGGATGAAAGAACTGCAAATCCACTTGGAAGCTGCATCTCAACCTAGAGTTATGGTCTTCCAGTTTTTGTCCCACCATGACACTCAATTCCTTCCAGCAGCCTATGAACACTCCAGGCATTGCTGCCAGTGGCATATACAGACAGAAGGACCCAATTGTAGGGAGACAGTTACAGGAAAATGGTCTGCTAACTCAGGTCACACAATGAGGTGGATCAAACAGCCTCTGCAATGCATGCTATGCAAATTGTGGTAGCCAGATAACAGTGTTTAACCTTCACTCAGACCCCCTAGCACAAGGTCACTGCTTCCTCATTTCATGTCACAGCATAGCTAGCCCAGATGACAAACTGTTACCAGGCAGGGTTTGCCCAGGAGTTTGGAATCACTCTGAATATCCCAGTCATTAGTTGCTCGACTGAGAACATCCCACAGGAGCCTCATTTCCAGGGCCTGGGCACAGTGCATTTTCTGAAGATGAGATCCCTTTAAATAGGCCATCAGCACTGCCAACCCTCCCCCCAAAGATGCAGCTTTCATCCTCATCTGTGTTTCTAAATTGCCCTATACACCTACAGTGATGAAAACAGTGCTGCTTTTGCATCTTTTGTTGACTTCATTGAGCCTTTCCATCTTCCCACGTCTAATGTTCCAGCCATTGTTTTGCACTGAATTTAATGTATGTGTGTATCAGAACACAATATCCTCAATAAAAGGTCTATTCGTTGTAAAAGGTCAAAAGATATGATGAAGCCTTTTTTTTCCTGGGCATATGACACAGGGATATTAGGCTAGTGTTGCATAAAATCTTCAGGATTTGCTGTATATGAGCACAGGATTGTATATATTAGGTTTTCTTTATTCGGATGGTGCCTGGGGCTCTGGTGTGGTTGGCATTCTTGGTGTTGATAAAGGAGGGTTTCAAAGGTGCAATAGTAACGGCTAAACCTCCTGACACTATGGCCACATACTAAAGTCTTCTGACTGAGATCCGCAAGGCACCGATGTACCCCTCAGAGAACAAGGAGGAGCAGTTCACAGGTGGGAAGTGATCTCCTATCATCTTATTGCTCTGCTGTAGGATGGGTCTCATCCAGGCATGCAGCAGGGTTCCATGATGCTCTTGTCTTGCTTTCAGGGAGAGAATAAAATCGCCCAGAAGCTTCCATGCCACCAACTGATGGATCCATATTTTTGTTGCTTGTGTACCATAGTTTGGCCGGCCTCAAACAGGGCGTAGAATATGAAGAAATGGTCAGTATTCACCTTGGAAGGGTGAAAGAACAGAGAGGTATAAGTAGGTATGCAATTTCATACCAGAACTTAGCACTTAGCACTTCCTTTGGAGAGTTTCAGACTAAGCCTGGATTAGTGTCTTTTTCTGTTCTGCTCTATTCATCACCATACCTAGAACAAAGAGAGAAAAGAATAATGAGGGAACATCTCCATAAAAAAAATTGAAAGGTAGTAGAGAAGATTCCCAAGGGAAGGATTCTCAGGCCAAAACTATTTGTTTTGGGTAGTGCTACTTATTTTGCTGCAGATCCCAGGGGGTCATTGCACAGAGTAAACTACTATTCAGCAAAACACTACCAAAATCGCTGCCTCAGTGGCAGGCACAGTAGGGCTCAGAGTGCAGGCCCAGACAGCAGCAAAAATTACTGAATGTACATACTTTAATGGGAGCACTCTGCTCAAAATATTTACAGTCCACTCCAGTGCTGGTAGCTAGCTTTTATCAGAGAAAAGGCTAACATAAGGGAACAAACAAGAAAGACAGTTTTCAGCAGAAAAGCCTAGAGAAGAGCTTTGCTGGGGAGAAGTGTGGCCAGCAGGACCCTGCACAGCATTGCTCCCAGTCTGAAAATTTCCAGCTGGTTTCTCCCTGGACTTCTTAGCTATAACCATTTTGAGACAGAACAAAAGCACAAAGAGCCTGCGCCTCAAGTGAATGTGCATTCAGGTGGTGGGGGCAGCCAGGGAAGAGGTGTATAGACAATTTAATACCATACCAGGAGACTACAGAGAAGTGAGGCTTATGGTGCAGTTGGCCAGCCTCCATTACCCAGTTCAGCAGCGCTTCTGTCTCCCCATCCACTCCCAAACCTGTGTAGCCAAAGAGAACTAAGCAGATGTCCAAGCATATTTGGGAACTTCTATAAAAGGTACCATCTTTTAGGAACATATGTTCAAAAATCTAATTTCGGATGCCTGAGGGAATAGAGAAAAGATAATTGCAGTTTAACGTTTGCATAAGAGAAAAACAAGACAGATGAGTCACTTAAACCGGCTAATGCTTATTCTGTGATGCTCTGACCGCTTTTTGTACCATGCCATCACTTACAGTATTTGTCAGTGGATTTATTTCCTAGGAGGCACAGGAAGAGCAGTGGGAAACATAGGTAGCTTGCACGGCACAGCCTGTTTACCTTAAAATATATCAGGCACAGAGTATGAGGATCCCCAGGCTTGAAACCTGCACTTCTGGATCTCCCCCACTCCACTGTCCTCTCGTTTGATCTTGCTGTGGTAGTTGTGGAAAACTTAGTACACGTCCAGTGTAAGCCATAGGGAGCCGTGTTGTATTTCCTGGCTGGGCTGGTACTTGCAGACCTTCATCTATTTTTGCCTACAATTTGAACATCTTCTGGTTTGACTCTGGAGAACCACAAGGCCAGATTAGACCATGCTAGACCCATGATGGAGGTCCCTTTTGATAGGCTGTGAGGTCCTGAGTTGAGATCCATTGAAAAAGCCAACCCTACTACTAACTCTAGGATTTGGGATGGGTTAATTTCTGGGCAGTGCTGGAAGCTGACACATTCCCTACAACAGTATCGGTTACCATACGGGGTGGGGTGGGGGGGAAATGAGGGCACCCTGAACATGAAGGGAATCCAGCCTGCCTGCCTCAGTGCAGCCCCACGTTGAGTTTTCCATTACCAGGCAGCTAGTTTAAATGAGTACGTCTCTGTAAAATGCTAATAAAGTGGATTTACAACAGGATTCTAGTTTGGGCCCACATCCGGTTCCTGTAGCAAGTTGTTCGCTTGGATAAACACCGCCGCTTTCTGTTAATTCCCATGATCTCCATCCAGGATGCCAAAAAATATAGGAGAAAACCATTTGATCAAACCTTAAATTAAGATGAAATTTTAATTTTAATGGTTTGATTTGGAATGATTTCTTATATTTTTACCTTTTATTTTCTCTTTTCACTTTGAGGTAGCATTTTGGTTTGATTTACATTTTTTACTGGTGAGATGATATGGAAAAATGCTTACATATTCGTGAAGTTGTTTAGCTGATGTGTGTCACTAGGATTTTAAGGAAAAATGTTTAGATGAAAAATCTGGGTCAGCTCCAGTAACAGGAGAAGAAAAGTATCAACAGCATTGTCCACTGCATTTAGACTACCAGTGCATTCCACAGAAGTATCGGCTTTTGAAATCTGAGCATATGGACTTCCAAAATCCTTGGGAGATGCTGTCCCAGAGGTGGAAAAGCTCCAAGACACAGTATCAGAGGTCTGGGAGGGAGGTCAAGGCCCAAGCACCTAAATGCAGAAAGCTGGATTTGCAAACCGTACTTTTCCAGAGCAGAAGGAGATCCAAGCTCTGCATGAAGGAGTCAGCTGAAGTCCAAAATAACATAGCAGGATCTAAAACGAACTGGGTATTTCTCGGAAAACAGGGGGTTGCAATTGTTAGTGATAACTAAAAAGCAGAAGAGGTGAGAAATCTTATGTGTCAGGTTTTACACAAATCTATCAGGGTGCTGAAAGAGGCCTGATTGTCCCATATGTGACTATCACAGTCGCTGTCTGCAGGGCCAGCTGGTACCTGCTGCCATCCAAAGCAAGTGTGAACCAGTCTGGTAACCCTTATTTAGCTGGCCACTCTTGCCTAGGGCTGTTGCACCGGGAGGAACGTCCCTTCCTTTGGCTAGGCATGCTTGCTGCACCGTGAGGAGGACAGTTCAGACAGTGTAGCTTATCCACGATCTCATTTTCTTCCCAACCATTTTGGGTCTGCTTGCAATGTGAAGGGGCCTCTGCAGTCCTTGCAGGGCATATATTTAGCAAGTAGAATATTTCCTTGAAGTCAACAGGTGAAACCCACAAGAGGTGTGCAAATCTGTAGTTCCTCTTGGGACACTGTACACAGGTATCACCCAGCGGGAATCAGTGGAGCCGTGCGCATTTACCTCTGCAGAGAGCTGGTCCCAGGTGATTACTAAAATAGATCTCATTAGAACGACCTCTTATGCATGTTTCTTTTTAGAAAGCCAGAAATCACCGGAGGTTGAAAAATAAGGAAATAGCTAAAAGGGCTTTTGAGGAGCATCCTATATTCCCCTCTCATTGCCACATTGCTGATAGGAGAAGTGGAAAGGACCATTCAGATGCTGAATATTACTGCACTGCCTGCTTCATCCTGGGAAACTGGAGCCTCAGACCCATTTTGGCTCCATGGGAGAAGTCTGGTCAGTATTTATCAGCGTTTACACTGCAATCAGCTTCAGTGGCTGCTGCTAGTGCTTCTCTGGTGAGGACAGTTTTATCGTCTGCAAGTGGTCACATCTTGCTAAATGTGATTACTGGGGCTTTCTGGTGGAAGGAGCAACCTAGGAAAATAATCTGCATTTGCTAGTATTTTTAAAGATGAGGATCCGGTTTTTATCTCTTCAGAGAGCAAGCTCCTTGCAGGACCTGGTCTTCATCACACTAGCAATCCAGAGTTGTTATTAACATCTGAAAACGTTGGTGTGTTTTCCAACACCAACGAACTAAAGATGAACTGAAACATCTAGGGATAATTCACTTATGTGTGTATGTATGTCTCCCAGTCACATTCTCTCGTAAGAAATGAATAGGATGGCAGATTTATTTCCAGAGATTCATAATATGATTACATTTCAGTGTCTGGCAGGTAAGTTGGCTCAGATAGTTGCTGACAATAACGGAAGCACTTTGTTCATTCAATTTGCATTTTAACCAAAGTGGTTTACTGAAAATTTCAACTTGATATTAACAGTCTATTTACACTGTCTATAAATTGTGTATAAAAGGCTAAAAGCTGTTGTTATAAGAATGTGAGCCTTTTTATAGATTCAAGATGGAAAAAAATTCAACATCAAGAAAAAAAATGCAACAACTGTTTTAGAGAAAGGGCTTCACCACGGACAGGCAGTAGAAAGAGAAGTCCTTTGCAATCAAATATTACCTTTAAAACGGTTTGTATTAGTGCTGTGCAAAGCTTGCCATAAAAACATTTCGCATCATTGTTTTACATGGCACGAAAACCATCATCAGAAAACTGAGCAATGTCGCAAATCAGGCTTATGCGCTTGAACATGCACTGCAAATACAAGGCAGGAGAGACAGTGGGTTTATCCAAAACAGAGGCAGGATGTGGCTGAGGAGACTGAAATCACTGCTGGGTGCCCGGTGCATCTCACTGCCGCCTCCCTCCTTCGTCCTCGTACGCAGGGGCTGTGAGTCTGGCAGGTCTGCGCCTTTTCCACAGCCCCCCAGAGGTGCCCAGGCCAGCCAGGGCCCTATAGCCCCTGGCCTTAGTGCTAGTATCTCTCCGGCCGCTGGTTCTCCACACCTCGGAGAAACCCCTGGCTCCTGCTGGCCCCATCTTTGCCTCCCTCTGCAGAGCTGAGCTCGTCCCACCGTGGCATCGGTCACTGACACCCAGGCTGCGAGCAGAAGCAGTGCAGTTTGGTGCAGGGGGTAACGCTATCGGGTAGCTGCACAACCTCCAGATACTGAAATGCATTCAAAAATCTGATCCCTGAGAACAGAAGCAGGGCACCTAAAGCAAGCCCTTTCAGATATCTTATCTGCCGTTCTCCTTGGATCACAGGACTACCAGAAAGTTTACAGCTATATAATAAACTTTTTGGGGATCAAAAATGACTAATGATCAGAAATTTCTTCTCTACAGGTATTGTGATATTTCAATGTGTGTTTTCAGGAAGAAGAGATGAAAAAACATTCTGTGCGTGCAAACAAATAAATATGCGTGTCTCAGACAAATAAATGTGTGTGTGTGTGTGTGCGCGCATGTGTGTGTGCACAGTACTTCGGAGCAGTGAACCAGGGAGGCAAAACAAGCAGTTTCACAAAGTACATTTCTGCCAGGATGGTGCAGCAGGTCAGGAAATATTCATGTAAAACTGAAATTCTTGGATTTATCATTAAAATTTTTGATATTATAATATTTTCTGTTAAAAATAATTCATGCATTCCCTGGTCAGAATTAAAGGCCACAATTTTATGGATGTACATGTTGTCCTATATAGCCATAATGGGCTAAAGAAGTAAGAGAGGAGCTCTTTGCATAAACCTTGCCTCTGTATAGCTATGGCAATGGTAAAACACCATTGCATCTCCCAGGCACAGCCCCACGGGATTCGCAGTCATGGGAAATGATTTATAATGGTGTTTTTTCTCTTGCCCTTGCAGTGGAGGAAGTGGGATGGACTAGCGTGCCTGCACGTTGCCCCACGTGCCATGCCCTTCCCCAACAGCTCCGATCTCAGCCCTTCCTCCTTCATTCTGGCCAGCATTCCTGGGCTGGAGGCTGCCCACTTCTGGATGGCGATCCCCCTGTGCTCCATATACATTGTGGCCATCGCAGGCAACTGTGCGGTGCTGTTCATCGTGAAGACGGAGCCGAGCCTGCACGCTCCCATGTACTTCTTCCTCTGCATGCTGGCGGCCATTGACCTGGCCTTGTCCACGTCCACAGTGCCACGCGTCCTCTCCTTCTACTGGTTCAACACCAGGGAGATCAGCTTTGGCGCCTGCCTCCTCCAGATGTTCCTCATCCACACCCTGTCGGCCATCGAGTCCACCGTCCTCCTGGCCATGGCTGTGGACCGGTACGTGGCCATCTGCCACCCGCTGAGACATGCCGCCATCCTCACCAATGCCCTGACGGTGAAAATAGGCCTGGCAGCCATGGCCAGGGCAGTCCTCTTCTTCCTGCCCCTACCTTTGCTCCTCCTGCCCCTTCCCTTCTGCAGCTCACGGGTCCTGTCACACTCCTTCTGCCTGCACCAGGACGTGATGAACCTGGCCTGCGCCAACACCACCCCCAGCCTGGTCTATGGTCTCACCGCCATCCTGCTGGTCATGGGGCTGGACGGACTCCTCATCTGCATCTCCTACGTCCTGATCCTCAGGGCCGTCTTGCGCCTGGCATCGTGGAAGGAGAGGCTCAAGGCGTTCAGCACCTGTGTTGCCCATATCTGCGTGGTCCTGGCCTTCTATGTGCCCCTGATCGGGCTGTCCGTGGTGCACAGGTTTGGGAGAGGCCTGGCTCCGCTGGTTCGTGTTGCCATGGGGAACGTCTACATCCTGGTGCCTGCTGTGCTCAACCCCATCATCTATGGGGTGAGGACCAAACAGATACAGAGGAGGATCCTGAATTTAATTCACATATACAAAATCAGAACTGCTCAGTGACCTGTGCTTGGCTATTGTCTCTTGTATCCTCACACCATCTCATCTCGTTTTTCACTCAGAGTCTCTGGAGGAGGGACTGTCCTCTGTTTGTACAGCACCTAGTACACGGCCAAGAGACTCCTAGGCTCTACCACTAGGCAAAAAATAAATAGCAATTGTAAACTCCTTCCAAAAGTGTTTACCCCCACCAAACTCAGAGTGAATCTCGTAGGACGACCCAAACCCAACCCTGACCAGGTAGACAGCTTTGTAGGAGGGAAAAATGGCTCAGCAAACTAATAAAAAATATCTAGACTCTCCTCATTGCATGTCTTAGTTCCCATCTCTCCCATAGCGGTGGAAAAGCTGAGTTAATACTACAGTTGTTTTTTCTTTTTTTTTAAGTTGTATTCTACTGAATGATTTAGTTAATTCATTCTGTTTGTGCCTGTGGCACATTCATTTTCCAAAAATGTCTTAACAAAATAGAGTTTTTCGTCAGAAACTTTGGCTATAGCAGCAATCTTTGAGTTAAATAGTTACAACAAATGATATTATAGGTGCAAAAATTCACTTCAGAAAAAGGAGTTCTCCACTCCTCTGGTCTTGTTTTGATGTACTGGGTGTTCAGTCAGGACAGCTCAGCCTCTTTTTGCAGACACTCTGGATAAACTTCAGACCCAGAGTTATTGTCAATAAAAGTGAAAATAATTTCAATTAATAATTACATTCAAAAAAAATCAATCTTTCTAGAAGAAAATAAATGAGTTGTAAATGTGATACCCTTCACATCCTTCATTTCAGATACGCATGGACTTCCTAAAGAGTTATGAATCAATTTCAAGATCTTTCTCTTTCAAGTTTTTTTTTATACTTCCTAGGTATCCTACAGGAAATTAGAATTCCTCACAGCCTTTGCCCTCTTTATTCTCATAACTCTTTTACCAGGAGGACACTGCTAAAAAGCCCTTGTAACACAATGAAAACCAAAAAGCCATAGGTCTGATAGAGAAGGTCTGAAAGTAAAACGTGTTTATTTTGATTGGCCTTCACCAAATCCACAGGTTCATACTAGAAAGTAGCTTTCCAACAACATCTTTCTGTAGAATAAAAAAGGAAAAAAAAAGCCCTGAATCTAATTTTTTTCAGTGTCACCACTTTATGTTTTAGAAGAAGGTTAGGGATTCTGGGAAGAAATGTTGTATAATAGAATCTTAAAATGAAACAAACAGATTTACAGAGTGTACACTCTCAGTTTTTTTTCCCCCCCAATCCACTGAAAATGTTTATATTCTTTGTCTTTTTTTTTAAATAATAAATCTGCTTCTTCATAAATAGAAAGAAACAAGTAATTTTTTTTTTCTTCTCAGTTTAAGCTCTGACCTTGCTGTTGGCTATCAAAAACCGTGGTCTTCATCCTTGAGGTGGCTGCTTTGCCATGGGCAGGGATGTGTTTGTTGTTCCCACTTACTTACATTGCGATAACCCTAGGAATTCCCCCGGTGAGAGGTGCCAGAGAAGTACCATCTCTACTCTGGACAAACTGGCTTTCAGCGCACGAGGGAGTAACAGAAGGTGAATCACTAATGGACAAGGCCTCGCAGATCAGGCCCCTTCAAGGCGACTACAGCAATGCCAGGTGCTTTTAAGAAGGTTGAGGATAGGAGGTCCAGGTGCTCATGAAAACTCATGTCTCGATCAGCAGATGATGATCACAGAATTATAGAGTAATTCCGGTTGGAAGGACTTCAAGAGGTCTCTAGTCCAACCTCCTGCTCAAAGCAGGGGTAGCTCTGGGGTCAAACTAGATTGCTCAAGGCCTTATCCAGTCAGGTGTTGAAAACCTCCAAGGATGGAGACTGCACTCTCTAGGCAATTTGCTCCAATGCTGGACTGTCTTTGTGGGGAAAAATTTCTCCTCCTATCCGGTCTGAACGTGTCTTGTTTTAACTTATGCTTGTTGTCTCTCATCTTCCTGACACACACTGTTGTGAAGAGCCTGGCTCCCTCTCCTTGTATGCAGGGGCTATGTTGCTGCTGTTGGGTCCTGCTAAAGCCTTTTCTTCCCTAAACTGAACAAGACCCATTCCTTAGGCTCTTCTCACGGGGCATCGCTCCAACCCTCAGGTCCCAGTTACAGTGGGGTGAGGGGCTGCTGCTTTGCATGTCTCAGCACGTGAAAAACGTGGAGACTGCATTTTCCCCAAGAAATATGTGACATGGGGCATCCCAGGGAAAGCACATGTGTCTGCAGAAAGTTCCTTGAGTGGGCTCTTTTGTGCCAGGACGCACTGCCCCTTTCACTTGTCTCACCAGGGACCAAATAACCAGCCTGGAGGCGGGGGGAGGGTCTTTGCTCCCATTTATCCTATTCAAAGAAGGATGTGAACAGCCTGGGAAGCTCCAGTGACCTTTTCCTTCTCCTCTCTTCCATCCCTGATGCTTTGCAGATGCAGATCAGCATGTTGGAGACAATAGCCACAACTGTCCTGGAGACAATGGCCACAGCTGTCCTGGACAGGGACACTGCGCTGCCCATGACACGTAGGGAAGAAGCCTTTGAGGCAGCCCAGGATGCCCATCAGCGCACAACAGAAGAAGTGCCAGGGAGGAGAAAAGAGCAGGGTAAAGATCATAGAGCATGTAAATCTGTGCTCATTCACACCTGGAAAGTGGATGTATGTTTGACAGTTTAAGATCTGTAGGGAGAAGTTTCATTTAGCATTAAATGGACCAAAATACTTGCAGGAAAACAAACTGATTTTAGACTACCTGGAGACCTTCCTGGGGATTCATCAGCCTTTCTTGTATTTACCGAAGGAGACGCATTGCCAAATCCGGGCCCTGGCAGCAGTCTGTTCTTCACCACTGCTCATGTGAGTACGCTCCTGTGGCCGCACATGCCTTTCACAGAGCAGCTGCGATGTGACCTGCAATGTTGCTCTCTTCCAAAAACATTGTCAAACTAGCTCTGATTACAATTTTTTTTATTCCATTAGCCACTACGTATTCTGCAGGCATCGGGGGGGAGAGGGGGAAATCTCTTGCAAATGCTGCAAAGATATTTCCTCTCTGAGTGGTTTTTCACGTCCCTCCACCTGTAAAGCAATGTATCCTGCTTCCTTTGCATTCAGCTGTACAAGGCTCTGAGAAAGCTGAGCAGACTTCTGAAATGTGCAAAAAGAGCTTTTCTAGACAATAAAGGCTTAAGGTCTGAAACCTCTGGGCCTTGCAGTGCTCTGTGCATGCCCCAGAAAAGAGAATTTCCCGTGTCTAGCTCTGCAGTAATTGGAGTTTAATGCACTCCTCTATGGTAGGAGGGTCATAGAAAGGTTAGTGGTCAGGCAGTGATCTGTGACAAACATAAAAAACAAAAGGGTCTGCCACTGATCTTGAATGGATCTGATCTCTACAGAACTAGCTTGCCTATATCTAGCACAGTGATCTCTTGGTAGTACCATCACTTCCTCAATATCATATATTTTTCTGTCTTGTTCTCTTACATTTTACTGCATGGTCATACAGTTTATTTATCACAGATCTCCAACATATATCACAGCCATGTCTCTGCACAGAAGCGTACACATGCGAAAAAAATGCTCATTCCCATGACCCTCTTTTTCACTTGTTTTATTTTCCTTGCTCTCTCTGTTTTGTTGCATGCCTGTGGGGAGAAACTAAGTCTTGCTGTGGGCCTCACAGATCACACATCCCCTGGGAATAAGATTGTCTTTATTTGTGCATGCGCTCTGCTAAATGTTGTCGAATCTGGGGGAGTTTGGGACTCAAGGAAATTCTGCTACCCAGCCTGCTACTGCTGCTGCGTTTCCCTGCCCCGGGTCTGGCTGCACAGGCTGAGTGGGTACCCCAATACACACAAATACACACCCCCACCCCCACACCCCCACACCCCCATAGAGACAAGTCAATGGAGCAACGCAAGGAGAAGGCGGCTTTTGCAGGCACCACGGAAACACAAACCGCATGCATGTAAACATGGGCAATGCACGCGGCCTGATCCCATTCTTCTTTGCCAACTAATCCGTCTTGGAGCTGGCTGGCAGATCCCACACCACGCATGCACAGCGCAAATGGGTCTCTCCAGTATCTGTCCCCCAGAGTCCCAGCCTCTCCGGCTGCTCTTTCCATTTTCCCCGACTTGTTCCTCCCTGATCCACTTTGATCCCTCCTTTCCCCACCTTTGACCCTTGCCCTAAATGGTCTATAATACGTTTGGTGCATTCCCACTAGCCCCATGAGACCCATACTAAACTTGCTTCCCCTGTCTCAGCAGTTACAAAGATCTGGCCATCTATGAGTGGTTCCTTCAGTGGTGCATCGATCAGTGACCTGAGAGCTCTTCTCTTTGTTGTGAGGGACCTCTGGAAGTTGTCTAGTCCAATGTCCTGCTCAAAGGACGGTCACTTAGAGCAGATTGCCTAGGACCATATCCAATCAAGTTTTGGATAGCTCCAAGGATGGAGACTCCACAACCTCTCTGGGCAACGTGTTCCAGTGTTTGACTGCCCTCACAGTGAAAAAGTTTTTCCTTATGTTCAGATGGACCTCCCTGGATTTCAGTTTGTGCCCGTTGCGTCTTGTCACTGGGCACCACAGAAAGTCTGACTCCATCTTCTTTACACTCCCCCCATCAGATATTTATACACATTGATATGTGTATAAGCCTTCTCTTCTCCAGGCTGAACAGGCCCAGCTCTCTCAGCTTCTCATCATGTGGGAGATGCTGCAATCCCTTAGTCATCTTTGTGGCCCTTCGCTGGACTCGCTCCAGGAGCTCCATGTCTGTCTTGTACTGGGGAGCCCAGCACTGGACACAGTACTCCAGGTGAGGTCTCCCCAGGGCCGAGTAGAGGGGAAGGATCACCTCCCTCGACCTACTGGCCATGCTCTTCCTGATGCAGCCCAGGAAGCTGTTGGCCTTCTTGGCCCCAAGGGCACATTGTGGCAAGGATCTGCATTTATATGCAAAAAGTTCACACTTGCCCACGGCTTCATCCAATCTGATCCTAGACCCCTCCAAGGATGGAGACTGCACAACCTCTCTGGGCAACATTCCTCTGCTTGACATGTACCCCTGTGGCCGCTGTATGTATTAGCCTAATAAAAGCAAGCTGAGCTGGGAGAAAGGAATTAAATATTCTAGAAAAACAAAGAAAGGCAAATACATGGAAAGCTGGCAGTGAACAACAATTTTCATAGAGAAGAATGAAAGCAAAGAATAACCCCTCCACCCCCCAAAAAGGGCAGAGACCCTCTTTCTTGGATTCAAGGTGCTCTCCCTCCTCTTGCTGCAAGATATGAGCATGCAGAAGGGGCTTATGGGTCCCACCTTGAGCAGCAGCAGGGCAAGGGAACTAGAAGCCCTTCTCATCCTTTAAAAGCTTTATCATACTGTTGCCTATGGGGTTTTACACACAGCGTTTGTTTAGCACTGCGGTACCTCATGCATCCATCACCACTACTCCAGATCACTCAGGGGGAAGAACTGGCGCCAAAGGAAGTCTGTGGGATTGTATTTGGAGAACATTAAATTCAAGAGAAAACTTTATGCCCATCTGTCCTTCTGGCTAACGCAGGTGAAAGGGTTGCACCCAGGGCATCTTGCATCTTGTCCGTGATGTCTAGATGTGCTAAAACAGGAATCTTACCAAAGACACATGCTGTCTTTGGAGCCTTCAAGAGACAGAAAACACAGTGCAGTCTAGTGCATTTTCTTCCCATTGCAAGCTAACATTTATTGTAAAATGTGCATCCTTTTTGTAGTCTGTAGTCTACATATTGTAGTCTGCAGCTTCAGTTTCCATGAAACAGGTCTTTTTATAACCTTTCCTACCAAACTGAAGCATGTTTTATTTCAAAATAAATACTTCCATCTAAGCAAGTTACAAGTAGTTGCCATCTGCGACCTAAAGGTAATTTTGTCACCTGTCATTCTTGTCATATCCTGTTTTATTACAGCTTAGAAGGGTAACAAATTTTCATAAAAATGAAAACAATCCGTACCTGTCTAATATGATTTGGGCAAGTATGAATGAATTTTCTAGAGAGAGGCTATGGACCTAAATTCTTCTCAGATGGCCGGGGCATTCAGAAACGGTTCCTGCTCATTCTCCATATGCTCCTTATTTCATTTCCTTTTGTGCTCAGAGAAAAAAATAATAAAGGAAAATGAATGCACTGTCCTGAAAATGCTGTATTTTATTTCCTAGCCATCTATTTTTCAAGGAGACAGCTAATAGAGCCTCAGAGTAGGGAGGCATGATGAATTTCCCCTGGACAGCAGTAAAGGCTGCATAGAGTTCCTGCTCTGCATCTTGTTTTCCTAACTTTAGGCGTGGAGCCTTGCCCTGCGGGGACAGGGAAGCTGCAGTAAAGGCAGTTTGTGCTGCTGCCTCAGAGAGCCTGGTGGGATGTGGGAAAGGCTGAATGCTGGGACCTGTGTCCAGAAAGTTGGGGATCTTCTGGTGGATAACAACTTCTGACATTGCATCACCTTTCTTAACCTGAGTGGTAGAAATTTCCATGGTCTCAGAGTTTCTCTGTCGGCTCTCTTGGAAGTTGATAAGGTTGCCCAAAAATTGAATTTTTTTTTTTTTTGATTTGCGAGACTTGCTTTTTAATTGAAAATGGCATTGCCAAGGGTTTGACAGAGATTCTGTATTGAACACTACAGAAGCTGCAAAAAGAGGTGCAGTGTGCTGCATAGCTGTGAAAGCAATTCGACAAACCCATGGCTGGCTCTCAGATCTGCTTCTAGTTATATGACCTCTTTACACTTCAGTTTCTTCGCCCATATAATGGGGATGATGGCAGTGATTTCCCTCTCAAAGTGTTATTAGGGTTACAAATGAAAAGTAACAGAGAAAGGATATATTGCTGTGGTTTGGGAAGTATTTCATAAATCATGCTGCTGTAGTATTAATTTAAAAGCCCAATTCTGTGATTTAATCTTGAACAACCTCATTGCTCTGGCATCTCCTCCAAATAAATGCACTACAAGAAAATAGAAATCACACTGGGCAAAATGTAGCTATGCGGTCATCAGCAGTGAAGGGGTTAAAAAGCATTTATTTCTCTCTGTTTCTCTAATTATGTATTAAGTAGCAGGAGAAAGGCAGAGCTCCCTGCTGGGGTTTATCTGGCAGATACATAAATATCTCCTGGTCTCCGCAGTGCAGAGTCCCTGCCTGGAAACCTGCAGGAGACAGGTGAGTATTTGGGGTTAGGGCAGCGATTTGTTGTTCTGCAACACAGTCTTTTATGTCAGCGCTCCTCCTGGGCAGCAGTGACAAGTGCTGCAATAGCCCCAGGTCAGCAAAGCTTACAGACAAATGTCCTGTCTCTCATACTGTTTTGGCCTGGGAATTACGTTCATGTTCCTGGTGCTCTCCACAGAAGAATGAAGTACTAGGTAAAGCAGCACCAACTGCAGCTAGGAGGAAGAAGGTGGAACGAAGAAAGGAAAATATCAGGAATTCCCATTCCTATGATATTTACAGCTGCATAAAAAACAGGAATTTTCTCCTAGACGGCAGGTGGTCCCTGAGCCATGAGTAGTTGTAAGGTTTGAAGACCAGCCCTTATGCCCCAGCTCTAGCAGGGACTGGTGGCAGTGCTGGGGTGATCAGCCGGGAAATCCCACTCCCAGCAGCAGAGGGAGCGGGGCCAGATCCTGCAGTCAGCTCAGCTAGCACCAGATCCTCAGGGAAGAGCCCACCTTCATTATGGGAAGTTGCTACTGTCTCCTCCACTCCTAGACCTCCCATTCCCTCTGCAGCTCTCTGGCGCAAGTGGCTTGGTCCCAGGAAGACTTCTGAAGGGTCTTGCAAGGTCAAGAGTATTGGCTTGATCTGTGTTGCAGATTTCTTTTTTTTTTTTTTTTTAACAAGGAACCTTTTTTTCCCAGTTCTTAGGGAAAAGGTATTAGCTGAGTAACGTGCAAATTGAGTGAGCTCCTGCCTTTTTGAAGGGGGGGAGACTGGACATCACTAGAGGGGTGCATCTGTAGGGGGGATTGCCAAAAGACCGTGGCACTGGCTCAGTGTTTTCCACTGAAATCTGGTGTTTCTCGAGCATGGCAAACATTCCTTGCTGCTGTTTACATGAGTAAGCACCGCAGTGCAAAAAGACAGCTTCTGTAGAGCTATACGGCTGGTGCTCATAACCTCATGCGCCCACTCTACACATTTCAAGAAGGTTTACTTTGGAGTGGGTCTAGTCTGGTATCCTGAGCTGGACATCCTTTGCAGAGTGGAGAGCATCAGGTGTGCTCCTAGAGGAATCATCCAATTTTGTTTCATCCCAGAGGAACCCAGTCTGCAGGCTCCAAGACAACCTGTGATATGAAATAAAGCACTTCAACTGGAAATTGGCAGGACACTTGCTTAAAAAGTGCTCTCCTGAACTAATGTAAGCAGCTGTTATAGGGTTGTCTCTCTATATGGGGGTTTTGAGAACCTGGACTTTACCTCAATGCGTTCTGTGTTTACCACTGACAATATCAATTCTAGGATGCTTAATACTTTTTTACAGGGTGTAAGATCTCTTAGTGGAGGCAGGAGACAAAAAGCATTCCATGTTGTCTCTGAACTCTACCAGCCTCTCCCACCCTCCTGCTTTCCTCCTGGTTGGCATCCCTGGGCTGGAGCAGGAGCAGTTCTGGATTGCCTTCCCCTTCGCCGTTATGTATGCCGTTGCTGTGCTGGGGAACATCAGCCTTCTCGTCTTTATAAAGACCGAGCCAAGCCTGCACGAGCCCATGTACTTCTTCCTGGCCATGCTGGCCTTCACCGACCTCGTCCTCTCCACATCCTCTCTCCCCAAAATGCTCAGCGTCTTCTGGATGGGCTCCGGGCAGATTGGCTTCCTCTCCTGCCTTGCTCAGTTGTTCTTCATCCACACCTTCTCCTCAGTGGAGTCGGGCGTGCTCATGGCCATGGCCTTGGATCGCTGCGTTGCCATCTGCTACCCGCTCCGGCACGCCAGCATCCTCTCCGGGCCAGTAGTGGTGACCCTCGGGAGCCTGGTGCTGGCGCGCGGGGTCATCCTGGTGAGTCCCTTCTGCTTCCTGCTCCGCAGGATGTCCTTCTGCCAGCAGCCCATCATCTCCCACTCCTACTGCGAGCACATGGCCGTGGTGAAGCTGGCATGTGGGCAGACCCGAGTCAATGTCATTTACGGCCTCTTTGTGGCTTTTGTGGTGGCCGGGTTTGACGTGACCGTGATCGTTGTGTCCTACGCCACGATCCTTCAAACAGTAATGAGGCTGCCCTCCACAGAGGCAAGGCTCAAGGCCTTCAGCACTTGTGCAGCCCATGTCGGTGTCATCTTGGCACTTTACATCCCTGCCCTCTTCACCTTCCTCACCCACCGGTTTGGCCAGAGCGTCCCTCACCACGTCCATATAATGGTGGCCAATCTCTACCTGCTGGTGCCCCCCACGTTAAACCCCCTTGTGTATGGGGTGAGAACCAAACAGATCCGCAACAGAGTGGTCCTCCTCTTGCAGCAGAAGGCAATCTGACCCTATGTGCCTCAAGTCATGCACAGAATTTACTGATGACCCCGGTAACTTTAACAAGGGTTAAAGCTATGACCCTTTATTCAGGAGAAACCCTTCCTCAATGCCTGGAGTTTAAACAGTGCACTCTTGTAAGAATCGCTAGATTATCTCTTCTGTTAGTACAGTTCAGGGGATTTCATTCATTATGCGGTGGAACTTGGCAGAAAGCCATTCAGTCTGGCTTTTACACCACTGGGAGATGGAGAGTTCACTTCCCCCAGACCTCTCACTGTTCAAATTCTTTCACTACCAAAGAAAAAAAAAAAGAATCTCCTCATGATTAAAAGAGTTTCAATCTAGCTCTTAGTCTGAGTATTTTCAACAGAGCTTCCTGCAGTAACTCTCATTATAGGAACAGTGTTCCCCAGACTGTGCAATGGGAAGGTGCTTAGCCAGGAATGGTGATTGCCCTTGTAGAAGGAAATTAATAAAATTTAATTTTAGGTAGCATGCTCTTTTTTTAAAGAAAGTAAAAACCAAAATAATCCTATGCTAGCGTATTCCAAAAGTCCCATATAAATATAAACCCTTTTAAAAATACCAGAATTCCTCATTGGTGTAATTACTTGGAATGACCCATGACAGGTAGAGCGTTACTAACAGAATTGCTCTATACTAATGCAAGTCGACTATCCCAATAAACAAGTGAATATATGTTACAAAACCACTGCTTTATAGCTGAAAAATGTAGGAAGCAGAATGATATCAAGGTCAGACGGTGACCCAAATTCAAGCTACAAAATGCAAACGCATTATGGAGCTTTGCTGTATTTTTAGTGCAAACTCAACAGCACTCAGCACAGTGGATCCAGAGGAGATCTCTCACCTTGCCTGGCATTTCTCTGAGCTCTTTATCTTCAGTAGCAGCTCTGGCTATCGTGACTGCCCATGAGGGGGCTCCAGACTCTGCTATCACTCCGTGAAGTGAATACCAGGAGGGAAGTAAGAAGAGGAGCTCCAGGAAGAGAAAATACACTTCTGCTGAAGCTACGTAGATATTAGGCTGCAGAGATAAAGGCAGTATTGTTGGCCCATTTCAGCTGATTACTTTAATTTCAACTCGGTTCATTCTTTTTCTTCAGGCAAAAAAGAAGTGGTGTTTCCCAGAACCTTGTCAGGAGTTGGAGCCCCACTGTGAGAAACTCCCTACTGCACATTTGACGTGAAGTTAGTTCATAACACAAGTAGCTCTCAGACAGTTCCCTGGACACAGACAAGAGGGAGGGGAAGACAAAGGAGCAGAGATACAACTGCAGTTCAAATACTAACCAGTCTCAGAGCGCTCACTTCATAAAGCAGGACTGGACCATTTCTTGAGGACTGATGTTCAGCTGTGACTGCTCTGGTGAGGCAGAACTCCCATTTTTCTGTAGCCCCTGCAAAAAACATGGTGGTTCTCGTTTTCATTCAGGACAGGAGGGTGGCCCCCAGCTCAGATCTATGTCCATCCAGTCCAGCATCATCCTGCATCCTCCAGTGGCAATGGGAGAGGTTTTTTGAGAAGCATTTTCTCAGTGAGAAATGACACCTGTGTATCATTGATCAGATACATGCGAAGGTAGTTGGCTGACTCAGTATGGCTTCTTGCAACCTGCCAGGTGTGCGTACAAGCCATTGCTGTCACATAATATCAGATACTCGGCATCAACAGTTCAGGTTCCTACTCCAGGATTCCTTTCTCCATAAATAAATAAAGCTGGCTGTGAAACCTGAACCTTTGCCCAGGATGGATGGTGTGGTCACTGGGGTGGAAGGGGGACAGGAGTGCCCTCCAGTCAGTGCTAGTGCTGCTCATGAGCTCTAGAAAGTGGTGGGGAAGGTGAGATGGCCTGTACCCAAATGGGGGACACAAACACGCTTTTAAAGGGGGATAAAGCTTTGATGTGGTGCTTTGAAATCCAAAGGCACCAAATGGTCCCACTGCTGAAAAAGACGAAATCTGATTGTTTAGGTGGGCAGCCCTGTGCTTGCAGGAGCGTGACCTGATGATGGTGTCTGAGGTCACAGCTGCCAAGAGAGGGAGGTCTTACCCCCATTGCTTTGCTAGGTTCACGGTTCTCCTTCTCAGCCCCTGCAGAAGGGCTCCCAGGAAAGTTTTTCTGAATCTGATGTCTCCTTGTGGAAGCCGCAGACCAACACCACATTAAAGTCCTGCTTTATTTTCACTTGGATTATAATCCTATTTAACTCCCAGGGCTAACCTAATTCAGTTCTATGGTAGCCTCTGACTTGACCCTGGAAATCACTGTTAATAGCACATTTACATCATCTCCTTTTAGATAGTGGAGCAGCCGAAAAAAGAAGCAGAAATCCCTAATGAGTCTGTGAATCCAGTGAGATTTTTTAGAGCGGCGATATAAATATACATTCTCTGGCAGCCTGGAGGCAAGATGCTCAGGCTGATCATACTAGGATACTGCCCCATATTTAAGGCAAAAGTTATCTCCTTATGTTGCGCTGCTTTTCACATGTGAGCTGTTAGATAATTTCAGATAACTTTGTTAGTTGTTACTGTAGTATTGGTGTTAAGGTAATAATTAGTTTTAACTGGAGAATGCATGTATAAAGAAGAGCTAGTTACGCTCAGATCCGTTTCTTGTCAGCTGAGGGCAGTAAGCACCTCTCATCTGACTATGGTATGCATTTACCTTGGGGTGAGATGAATTGCATTCCGGCAGTGCCTTTTTCCATCCGGTGACTGGTGAGAGCCCAGACAACCAGCTGAGATGCAGACATCTACACAGCAGACACCTGCAGCCAGGTGAGGTGAATATGAAAAGCAGTTCTTGACTGTGGGAAACTGGGTTTAGCAGCTTGGCCAGGTGGGTAAGTAGCACTGAAATCTAGTTTTCTCAGCATAGGAAGGTGTTTCCCGCACACCACAGCATTAAAGGCTTGTTAACTGCCGGAGCTCTCCTCTCTCTGACAGAGTAATTTGGTTGTTGTGTGCTTTTTACTGGAAAATAGCACTAGCACTTGTGCATATGAGAATTCGCAAGTCCTAAGTGTTTTGGTCTCAGGGTAGCACATGTTCACAGTGCTGCTTCTTAGCAGCATGTTGAAGAAGGCTTGTTGGCTGGATCCTGCAAAATGCTGCAGCGCTACCTGGTTCTCAGGTGTGCACAGCTCTGGAAGATGCAGACAGCACTTGGTTGAAAGGCACTTATATCAAGTCTTTGCTGCCAGAATTATTTTTAGGGAAGGGAAAAAATCATCACATCCATATATTCATTCACAGAAAGAAAGAAAGTAGATGTGTAAATAATCAAAAAAAATAAAAAAAGAGAGCGAGAAAGACAGAAAATAAGGAGAAAGTTTATAGCTGGCAGAGAACAGCTGTTCTGGGACACCCACAGAAAAGTGATGTAGGGATCTAATTTATCAAGGACTGGAAACCACACGCAGATCTCAGAGTGAGGAAGTTGTGTGGCACTTTAAACATACAGATCTAGAGATCTACATCGTGCTCCTCCGCTTGTTATTTTGCAGAAGGACAAGGAAAAGCCAGAATAAGGGTTGGTGATCTTGCCCCTTGACTTCCAAGCCCACCGTATGCTGTCTGTATGAGATACAAGTCTGTTGTCAGCCCTCATCTAGTGTATCACTTCTGAAGTCTTTTTGACCTCTCTCGCAACATATTCAATACAGTACTCCAGCTGTCGATCTGGTTTTCATCTCACACTGCCCTGGCACAGAGATGTCCGTAACTCAGCCTTCACATAGGTGCTGCATCCATCCATCTCTATAAGCTTCCTGTCTCTTGGGAGTTGCATTACTCCCTACTAAGAACGGCTCGCAAAGGTAAAATGTCCTCTCACTGTCTTATAGCAAACTCAGAAGTCTGGATGCTCTCATTGTGATGAAAGAATGAAAAAGTTTTGGTTTTTGGCATGATTGCTGTTTGATGACCTCTGCAAATTCTTGTGTAGGATGTGTTGGATCCAATATTTGAACTTTGATAGGACAAAGATGTTGCATTAGGAAAATGAGCAACATCAGCTACCTTAATCCTTCTATATTCCTTCTAACAGGAATCCCGGGAATGGAAGGTGGGAACATGTGGGTTGCTATCCCCTTCTGCTCCATGTATGTTATTTCCATCCTAGGAAACAGCACGGTCCTCTTTATCATCAAGGCAGACCACAGCCTCCACAAGCCCATGTACCTCTTCCTGTCCATGCTGGCTGCCGCAGACCTTGGTGTGTGTCTGTCTACACTCCCCACAGTGCTGAGCGTGCTGCTTTTTGATTCACGGGAGATTGGGTTCCATGCCTGCCTCGCTCAGATGTTCTTCATTCACTGCTTCTCCATCATGGACTCAGGGGTGCTATGGGCCATGGCCTTCGATCGCTTCATGGCCATCTACAACCCCCTGCAATATGCATCTGTCCTGACCAACCCACGGGTAGGCCTCATTGGGCTGGGGCTGATGGTGAGGAGTGTTAGCCTCTTGATCCCCTTGCCAATACTTCTGATGAGGCTGCCATTCTGCAGATCCCATGTGCTGGCGCACTCCTTCTGTTTGCACCCCAACTTAATCCAGCTGCCATGTGCAGATACTAAGGTGAACAGCCTGTATGGCTTATTTGTCCTGCAGGCCACATTTGGGCTAGACTCTCTATCTATTGTCCTGTCTTATGTCATGATCATTAGGACCGTGCTGAGTATTGCATCCAAGGAAGAGCGCCTGAAGGCCCTGAACACCTGTGTCTCTCATATCTGTGCTGTCCTGATTTATTACATCCCAATGATTGGCTTATCCATGGTGTACAGGTTTGGAAAACACACACCTCCTCAGATTCATACCCTCATGGCCAATATCTACCTTCTTGTACCCCCTGTGTTAAACCCCATTATTTACAGTGTAAAAACTAAACAGATTCGCAGAGTTATATGCAAACTACTTACTCCAAAATGGCACTGATATAATAAACAGAAGATCCAAGAGGTTTTGCACATGGCAAAACTGCTAGTGAATAGTTTGGATGCTGTCTAGTCCATCCTGTTGTCCATTTGCCTATTGAGAATCCTGAATTTTTAAACTCTTTTCATGCTGCAGGGAAGGCATATCCTGTTTCTAGCTCCCACCACTCTCTCTGTTGAATAAAGGAGCACTGCAGTATCTGCAGCCTTCTATATGTTTACCCCATTCCCAGTCAATAAAGCGGGAGATATGACTACCTGAGGTTCCTAAACTAATGTCCCTTCTCTTCAGGCAAATAGAACATAGCAATGGAGGTCCCTGGGTAAGGGGTTCCTGCCTGTGCGATGACACCGAGTCAGCTGGGCCCAGAGGTCCTGACCTCCCGAATGAGGGTGTTGATCTTTCTGCTTACGATTGCCTGGGCCTGTGTCTGCACGTATCCTGAAGCATCTGCACAGAAAAATCTGATGCTTCCTAGATTTGCTCAGCCATCTCTGCATGCAATAATGCATTGATCTACATGTGTGTAATATCTGTTTGTCCAAGATTTTTACACAAGCAGCCAGACTTGCTCAGACAGATATAGAGTTGCCAATTATCTAGGAACCCAATTTTTTAAGACATGTTCAGCAGCTGTGATTTGTGCTGCTGGAGCTGAAAGATCATGTTTCCCTTCACCCTGGTGCTCCCTGGGACCGTATCCATCCCATTCAGAGCTGTTGAAGTAACCCATGGCTGCTGGGAAGGTTCATCAGCCTGCCTTAGCAAACCACCCAATGGATCAATGCAGACTCCACTACAAACCACCCAATGGATCAATGCATACTCCACTGCAGCCGATGAAATAGAGCCAATAGAGCCTATGCAATGTTACTGCAGTCACACTGGGCTCCGGATACCTTCTGGTTGTAGAGGGAGCAGAATTATACACAGCAAGGGATCGCATCATCAGCTGGTGTGAATGGGCCCAGCTCAGCCACTGCACTGCACAGGTCCAGCTCCACCATTCTGTCTACGTTAAAGCAATGGGAGAACCACCTCCCACCTACGACATCTAAAAGAAGGTGTCTGCGTGTGCACTGGGTGCTTAAGTTCCTAGTATACAGAGGAGACCTAATCAATACAGAGCCTGGAGAGTGACTCAGATCACCCTAAAGCAGATAGCTGGGATGGGTTTCACAATGGAATATCCTGCCTGCTCCCCATACCTCCCTCTGCTTTGATTTCCATTGATTTGAACAGGATTGCTCTGGCATAAGGTTATAAAGCAGAGAGGCGAAGCAGGGCTATGTATTTAAAACAAAACAAAAATGTTGGTGGCAGTGGTAGCCTCTGTGGACAGGGCTGTACACCAAAGGCCTGATCCTTCCTCCCAGGGGCCGTGAGGATGTGAGTATCCATCATCCCAGGCAGGGCTGAGAAGGGCCAAGAAATCTCCTGCCTTCTTTTTTCCCCTTCATAAAGCTGTCATTATTGAAAGTAACCAAGAAACACTGGTATTTGTTGATGTGTAAATGGGCACCTAAGGGAAATCAGAAAAATAACAAAAGGTACTTTATGTATTCCAAGTCAGACTGAGAACTGAAAGGTTGTCAGTGCTTTACAGGTTGCCTGCTGAGCTTTTACTGATGTGACCTAAACAAGACAAAGCCTCCTTTGGAGGCTGACAGGACAGGGTACTCGGCCAGATAAGCTTTCGCAGGGCTTTCCTGTCTCTCTTGGCAGTCCAGAGAAGTATCAACAGCCACCCGGAAGCCTTCTCAGTTCTGCTATTGTTCACTGCAAGAATTCCTATTTTGTAGCCTCTTTTTGGTTAAAGCAAAACAAACAAGTCGATTACATATACCTGCCACAAGGCAGCTAGATTTTCTTCAGTCAACAGTGCCCAAACTCCATGCTTTGAAACACACTTCTGTAAGACTTGTGACCCAAATAATATTTCTAGTTACAACAACTTATCAGATTCAAATGATACCAAGTTGCATGGTGTTTCTGTAAGTTTGGGCTGTGGTACGCTTAAAAGCATGTTAAAGGTAGAAAAGAGCACACTTTATACGTGGAGCTAGGACTTTATTTATTGCAGTTAAAGTTGTAACCGTCTTAGCAAAATACACAAGACTTACTATTAGCCCAGTGGTTAACCTAGTGTCATCTGCAAGCTTTGGGAATTCACTGCGCACTCCATTGTCCAGGCTAGTAATGAAAATGCTAAATAAAATGAATGCTAGGAGATATCCCTTGGGGTCTTCTCTGACATTTATTTGGTGTAATCCTCTGTATTTACTTCAGATTGATCAAGATCCTCCACTCCACCTGCTATGAGCACTGTGTTCAGTGTAAGAGTTTACCCAACACCTTCAGTGGTAAAATCTGATGCAAAGAATTCAGTGAGACTCTGCCATAGTCTTGTCACCTCTGAGTAAGGCGCTCACCCTTGGTCACCAAGTAGTCCACTAGTTTCCTAGCTGGATTGCTGCTTTCGACAAATTTAACGAACCTGTAACCATCAGTTTGAGCACCCTCTGCAAGGCGCTGTTCCCATTGATTTTCAGCTCTCTTAACCTCCTGTTTGTGTTTGAGCTGTCACATTTTGTAGGTATTTCTATGCTCTTCATTTTGACAATCTTCCCACTTCTTAATGACTCCAGGGCTGCTGGCCACAGCCAGGCCAGGCCAGCCTTTGACACAGGAGCCTGACGACACCTTTGCGAATGTGCTTGATTTTCATACTGTAGATGATGGGGTTCAACACAGGTGGGATGAAAAGGTATATGTTGGCCATGAGGACATGGCTAATGGGTGCAGCATTCTTCCCATACCAGTGTATAATGGACAGGCCGACCATGGGGACGTACAAAATCAGGACAGCACAGAAGTGAGATACACAAGCGTTCAGGGCTTTGGCCTGTTCCTCCCTGGAGGCAATGCCCAGCACAGTCTTAACGATCATGATGTAGGACACGATGATAAGCACTGGGTCGAGGATCACTATCAGCAGCACCAGAGGTAAGCCGTACAGGCTGTTCAGTGTGGTGTCTGTGCATGCCAGCCGTATAGCCGTATCGTATCCTGATGCAGGCAATAAGAGTGAGAAAGCACATGGGACCTGCAGAATGACATCCGTGTAAGAAGGCAGATTAATGGGAAGAGTGTCAGAGTGCATCAGCAGACAACCCCCAGTCCCACCTTTGCAATCTTTGTAGGAGTAAAGATGGAGGAATATCTCAGTGGGTAGCAGATGGCCATGTAGCGATCAAAGGCCATGGCCAGAAGCACCGAGGACTCCATGAAGGAGAAGGCATGGATGCAGAACATCTGAGTGAGGCAGACTGGGAAGCTGATCTCCATGGCATTCACCCAGAACACACGTGGCACTGTGAGCAGGGTGGACGGGGTCAGACACAGATCTGTGGTGGCCAGCATAGAAAGGAAATAGTACATGGGCTCATGTAGCCTTTGATATGTTCTTACAACCAGCGGGATGGTGCAGTTTCCCACCATTGCAATGAGACACATCAGAGAGAAAGGGATGAAAAGCCAGTGGTGGAGATCAGCCAGCCCAGGAATGCCTACCAGCAGGAAGGCCAGAGCATCACTGCTGTTTCCTGGGGTCATGCTCGCTCCAGACTCAAGCCCTGCTTGAGCTGAAAGCCTCCTTTTTCATTAATATTCCGAGGTAACACAGGATAAGATTTCACAAGGAAATGAAAGCAAATTACTGGCAGAATGCAATCCGGGGACTCACGGTAAAGATCTCATTTCTTTTCTCCTCCCTGAAGATACTGGATCAGAGACTAGAACTTTGGAGCTCTGGATTTAGTTCTTGTCCCTGTTTCATTTCCTCTTGGTTCCTCACCTGTAAAACATATAGTAGCATTATTTATTGAACGAGGGCTACATCCTCCCAAGACATTGCTGGAGTCTCTTCTCTCAGTCACTATAAGCAACATCGCTGCCCTGTCCTGTCACTCAGGTGCTGGTCTCTACGTCTATCTGAGTCTTTCTCCAGCTCTTTACATCCAGGCACATCAAGTTCGCAAACTGCCTACAGCCTTCCCCTGCCATCCCCTAGATAAAACTGTCCTCCAGCCCTCTTCACATCTCCACTCTCAGGCTCGGATGCACACAGCCTCCCCCCTGACCCATCTCCATGCAGGACGCTGCTGGTGGGACCGTTGTCCTGTTCACCACCTGAATCAGCTCCACGTCCTCTGAGCAGTCCTCCACTGACCCTTGAGCTACTGCAGCAGATGACAGCTTCTTGTTTCCTTTCCCAGACTAGACCTCCAGCATGTTTTCTGTCCTTGCTCACAGGCACCAGCCTGCCTAGGCAGCTCCATTGGCTCGCTTGTTAGATTTTCAGATTTTCATCTTTCGTTCCACGCAGGATGCCTTGGTTGGAGCTCCCCGCAAACCACCTCTGCTTCCTTCTACCTAGCTGCTAACTTTTGACCATGGCTTGATTGCTGTCATTTACACTCTTGCTTGTCCTCCACCTGCTCCCACTTGCTATTCCTCAACCTATCCTTATACCGAAGATGAAGGGGAAGAGCCTGCACTCTTTTCCTGTGTTTGTGCAGTGCCTGGCACAATGGAGATGTGCTCAAGAACAAGGGCTCCCAGGAATTATGGAAAAAGAAGCAATTACTGAGATTCATAACTTTCACACTAACTTTCATAAGACATCAGCAAATTTAGAACATTATCATTTAGTTTAGGGGCTATTTATTATTCTAATTGTTGTTGCCATTGCTACAGTTTTTATTGATAGCATATCAAACTAGGATAAGTGACAGGTATTTCAGTAGACGTGCGTGTTAGCAGTATATATAGCAACCATAACTCTTAGCAGTGATGTTATTACAGCTAATAATTATGGGTAAAATTAAGCAATATGTACACAAACCCAGCTCTCATTTCGTCTACTGAACCATTCACAAAGGGCTTCTAAGCAATGGCCCACAGCAATGGCCCACAGATGCCTCAGGGAGAAAGAAGGGTATGTGAAATACAACTAATAAAAGCAACGCGATTGTCAAAGGGATTACGTTTTGTACACATGGTCTGCGTCTCTGGGGGTTGCAGATTAAAAAAAAGGTGTAAAACACACACATGGAATGTACTGCTCAAGAAGCAGCAAGCATTTGTTGGGCTCATCTGTTGTTCTTTTCAGGGCTACAGTCGTTCATATGGAACAAGTCAAACTTCTCCAGCCCTCAGCACTCCAGGATTTCATGCTCCATCTGCCTATGCAAACAGGAGACGTGGCATTGCTTAATGTGGGGGCATGTGGCTGAACTCATTAACGTGTCATGAAAAATGGAATTAGTCTATTTCCAACTGCCCCACACCTCAGACAAAGCTTCAGACATCTGTGCCTCTGGTCCCTACTTAGCCAGCTAAATAATTAGCTTGGTAAGCTAAATTAGCAGACAGCTTTCCACAGTGCTCTGATTATCGTAAGCATGAATAGGTTTAGGTACCTGAATCTGGGTGTACAGTCTTGAACTCATACCTCAGCTTCATCATCTCTAAATGTGCTTTGGACGTCCTGCAAAAATAAAGTTTTATGTATGTTGTTCACTCTGTGCATCGTCAGCTGTTCTGAATGGAGTGACTGTCCATTAAACTGGGAAAAGACTAGCGTCACTTTTCCAGCTACCACACTGGGCTTGGGATGGGGAGGAGGGAGGGCTGGTCCTGCCCATGTCTCTTCGCGGTGGCCCACACTACTATGGGGCCATGCCACACACGTATGCATACTGCCCCGACGCGGCATGTCTTTCCTCTGCGGTGAAGCCTGAGGAAGGAATATTCCTCTTCTGCTTCTCTTATCCTCTCAGCTTTTTATTTTTGTCCTTGGTGCAACACATGAGCAATGCATCTGCACACGGTGACATGGTGAATTTACATAGTACGGCATGTTATGGCACTGTAGGGGAAGAGTGCGTTTTCTTCTGGCTCCAGTGGATGGTCGGCTCATGCTGAGGCTGAACACCGAGGCTTCAGATATCCTTGCTTGGTTGTCCTTTGCAGCACCATCTGCCAGGCTCTCCGCAAGTGAGGCCAGAGTTTGCCTGCTGCATTGTCATCTCTAGGAGTGCTCAGCTCCAGAGATGGGGGCAAGACACCATCCCATCAGCAGACGGGGAATATTTTGTGAAAGAACCCATGAAGAAGCACAGCTCTTAGAGACTGACTTCAGAGCTTTAAATCCTGTCTGAAATATGTTGTTATAGCACCAGCTGTTGCTCTCTATAGAGATGCCCAGCCCTTCTTTCAGTGGATATCTTACACTGCATTCCTGCAGTGTCTCAGAGAGGTGGCCAGGGAACATGTCAGGAGCAGACAACAGACTGTGTTGGAAAGAGATGCAAATAGTTGATCAAAATGTATGTGGAAAGATAGATAAACACACAAGGGGTGTGCTGGTGATAGCTACCTGAGTGGCTAGGTGATGGAGAGCACGAAACAGCTGCAGGAATACACATTAATAGGTAAGCAAGCTGATTGCAAACCAGAACTATCCTTATAAAATCGGAATGGAAAATGACACTTTCAAAATTAAAACACCAAGATGAGCCGAGGCTTACCTACAGAAAGGTGCTGCCCCTTCAGATGTCCTCACCTCTGCGCTGCTGAAGTCCTCCAGCAGACACAGCAGCAGGACAGAGCAACACCCTTGTGTTTCACATGTGGAGGAAACTGTCCGTTTTTATAATGTCCGTGTGGAATCTCAGCACCAATTAGGGTCACCTGGGACCTTTTCAAGGGGCTGAGGCAAACCGATTGCACACTCCAGGGGTGCAATGGCACCTCTATTGCATCTCCATCTGCCACCACCTTGGCACCAGCAGGTACACCTTTAGAAATTTGCACCTGTGGAAAAGTCTCCTGGATCTAAGCAGATGCTTTCCAGTATTTAGTAGGGTGGTAGTCTGTGCAGCTTGAGCACTGCTGCAGCAGTGACAGGATTGTTTTGGAGCCACCCTGGGCACATCTCAGGGACTTGTCCCACGTCCATTCCCCAGATGCAACCCAGAGGACCCCCCACAGCCATTGGCCACAGAAGTGCTGCTGTGGCCACAGGCATGTGCTTGCATCTCCTTCAGAGATATCATCCTGGGGAACGTGAGATTTGCAGGAGACATTCACACTCAGTTCTTATTTTTGCCTAGTTACCTTAAATGGGATCTCTTTCCATTTGTTACTGCATAGTCAATAAAGGTTACCAAGAGGGATCACAAATCTCTTAATACCCAAACGATATTTCTCAAAGCTTTTGCAGCAGTGTTGCAGTTGCCATGACATCAGATTTTGCTAGTGACACCGGAAAAAAATCGAGGCCCTGTCCCCAGCCAGTCCTTGCAATCCTTTCCTAAAACACAGCTCTAAAATCCAGGTCTCTGCACCTGCTGAGGACGGTGGGGTTGTGGAGAGGGGACTGGGGGGGGACCTGGGTACATGAGGCACAGACACGGGTGGGCTCACTGCGGGAGGTGAAGGGGGACCAGCAGAGGCTTTCTGAGCACTGACTCATCAAAGCCCTGGTGCAAGAAGCCCCTTTAGCAAGGGGGCTGCCCCTCTGCCGGGCAGAGCACGTGCAAACCTGCTCGGACATGTGCAAGCGAGCTGGGGAGGTGCTAAGGTCTGGCTGTCCTTGATGATAAGGGTTTTGTACATACGAATGGACAGTTATCTTGCAAGAGGCATCCTTTGGAAATGTCATCCGATAAGCACATTTCAACCAAGCAGTTATTTACACAGGGGGAAAAATGAATTCATGCACAGATCCCCCTTGTTTTGCTGACAGACCTATTTTCTGTCCAAGCATCTCTGCAGCCTACAGGGCAGTGTAAGTAACAAATGTGCCGGAAACGGCTGCTGCAGAAGCACAGCGCTGTTAGCTAGCCTGGGTATCTCCACGCTGTATCTTGGAGGAAGCAATGCCACTATTTACATCTCAAAATCAATAAAGCATATTTTACAAAATCAAAGTAAGTACATTACAGCTTATCCTCATTTCAAGCTGTGAGCAAAAACACAACAAACATGTCATAGGCACGTCTGCATGTTGCTATGAATATATTCAAATCTCACTAGCTGCAAGACCTGCCTTTAGAAATGCTCTGTTATGCTGACATTTCTGACAGGGAAGATTTCCCTGCAGAGACACATGATCACGCCTTGCACTATATATTTATAACCCTAGCAAGGGCAGCACAGAGTCAGTTAAGGACTATTTTGGCTTTGCTGTCTTGAGAAGTGAAGAGAAATGTTTTTTCTGCTTCTGTAATTCTAGTGACTGTGGGAATCAGAACAGATATCAGGAAATTATATTTGAGAGTCTTTTAGCTAGCGTGCTCCTTCGATTGACATTAAAAATTGAGTAATAATTCCCGCAAAGGCTCTGAGGTTCTATTAATCCATTAGATCTTTCAGTAGGAGTCTTTAAAGTTTCATTCCCAATAGACTGGCACTGTGCTACAACTGTTAACAGGAGCATTTCAGGGTAGAGAAAGCAAGTATTCTTCTCTGATAAGCATAAAACTCATACCCCTAATATTTTTCATAGTATAGACTCCATTAATTACCCTATCACTGGTGTTTGACTAATTATTTTTTCTTAACACGTCTAAAAACTGCATACAATATCTGCTATGAGCAGTATAAGTTTTATCTTCCGCCTGACCATTTCAGAATATTTTGCAAACCTGGGTGACTCCATTTTCACAGCTCTCCATCAGCCCACGGCCTTTGCAGTATATCTGCAGGAGAGCAGGCTCCGTGAAGACTGGTGATGTGTCCTGATCGTCAAGGAAGGACAGAGAGAGCACCCACAGCTCCCAGCGGCTGATCTCACAGCCTCCCTCTGTTCAGGTTCTGCTCTTCATTATTGGCAAGAAAACTTGACAATTGCAGTCATCCATCAAAACATGCACGTGACTGACGTGTCATTAACCTACCATTCTTCACAACAAACAGACTCTTTCCTGACTTATATAATTTAGTACTATTTTTTCCAACCAATTTTTACAGAGGATAATCCTCTCCTCCTCTCTCAGGTAATCCATTCACTTATTATTTGTGCTGTCAAGGGAAATTTCCTGAATGTCTCTCCACAGAAGCACAGTGTGCTCATTTGCCAAAGGTTTTTGGTATTGTCTCGGGTTTGGAGATAGCTAGTGTGAAAGAGGAGAACAATCCACCAGCCTGCTATTAAGGATGAAGAGAGGTTCCCCTCATTTCAAGGCTCCGTGGTGTAACTCATAGCGATTCAGAGTTTCTTCATCATTTTAAAATAACATTTGCTCCAAATCGGAGCTGCGCAACTTGCATCCCATAAGCAACACAAGCACCTCACAAGAGCATATCATGGGGGAGTTTAGATGATTAACCTCATGGTCAAGCCTTCCTGCTGACCAGCTTACCCAGGTGGGAAGCTGCTTTCTCCTGGACTTCAATCCCAGTTATGGCACTGCCAGCACTGGAACAAACTTATGTTGTTGTGTGTGCTATATAAGCAGACCAAAGTCTCCACCAGCCCGCATATCACATCCTTTCCATGCTGGATCTGACTATCTTTGGGCTGTGTCTCTCCACCATGCTGGGAGCGCACATGGACCATGCTAATAAGCATGGGAGCAGCCAGGATAGGGCTGGCATGCCTGCTGAGGAGCACAGTCTTGATCATTACCCCAGTCCTCTGTCTCCTCTGGCTGCTCTATTGCAATGCAGTCCCCAGTGCCATCTCTGCTGGCACTATCAGATTGTGATCTGGCTGACTCGCAGAGGTAGTTGCAGGGATTCAACAGTATCTACGCCCTAGCCATTGTTTTCTTCTCCATACGTTCAGATTTCCTGTTCTTGTCCCACATCACGATCCTCCTGATTTTTCTCAGCACTGTCTCCAAAAAAGAATGCCTCAAAGCTATCTTGGTCCTGGTCTCTACCTCCCAGCACTTGGCTTGTCCATCCTGCACAGATCTGGGAAAGAGGCACCCCTTGTCTTCCACACTGTGATGGGCAACATCTGTATCCTCCTCTCACCTCCCTTAAATCCTGACATTTATGGTATCAAAACAAAGCAGATTTATAAAGGCATCCTCAGACTGATTTGTTTACAGAGCCCTTCAAAATAAGCTGTGTGTGAGGAAAGGCAAGCGAGTGTCCTGAAAACTCAAAGTCAGGAAGTGCAGGTTAATTCAGGTGGGAGGGGAGCTCAGGAGGTCTCTATCTGACAATGTGCTCAAAGCAGGGTCAGCTCTGGGGTCAGACCAGGGCAGCATACAGGCTGTGCTGTTGCTTGCTGAAGAGTACTTCCAGGAACCACTCTATTCTCTGCATAAAAAACTGCACATTGGCTGTGGAGCGAAAGCCTGCTGAGTCCATGGGAGGTGAGGACATGCCTTTGGAAAATCACAGCCAAAGCCCGCCGTATCCTCCCCGGGAAGTCCAGGAACCTCTATCACAAACCAGGGCTCTGCTGTGCCGTGTGCTGCAAAAACCACTGGTTAAGTCAGCTCCCTAATTCAAGGAGTTTCCAGTCTTGGTTTAAGACAAGGTGCAAGAGTGAGACAAACAGACTAGGTAATGGCACTCATGGCTCAGCCAGTCCAGTTGTCAGGAGTCACGTGGTGTTGACAGATGCTGGTCCAGCCCCATCAACCTGCTCAGCGCACACTGGACTGCACATGGGATGCTTGCTGTTTTGCTGCACCATGGAGCTGGAAGCGAGGCCTTGCTGACCCAAAAAGCATGAGAACTCCTTAACTGGAGTTAAGGATCTCAGGCTTTAGCTTGTGCTGTAAGCCCAGTCCTGCCTGTCTGCACTGGCCTGATGCACATCAGTTAGTGCGCTAGATGCTGTGGCTGCTGGGACCCAGAAGCTAGCTCACTAATTCTTCTGTTGTTTTCAGGTCTTGGTCATTTTTATGGGTTTTTTCCCCTATTTTGTTTAATAAGATAACTAATGAAATGGAACTTGTCACCCTTGTCCCAGTGAATGAACATCCAAGCCTGGCCTGTTGCAACCCACAGCTAGCTCCATGCGCCGTGAAGGCCCATCAGATGGTGGAAGGAGGGCAGACAGACCAAAGCCCATATACCAACTAATGTAAGAGGTTTTGTCCGCGGAGTGAAGCTGGCAAGCGAATACCCTCAGCCTGGAAAGGGGGGATACTTTGGGGGGAGTGAGGGTCCCTGGAGATTAATGTCTGCTGTGTGGCTTAGTATGATCAATCACCCTTGGGAAAGCAGCCCCTTTTCTTAGGACAGCTGGCATAGCTGGAAAAGGTGAAAAGCTTCTGGACCTCCCCGGAAAAAGAGTGCAAAGGTTTTCCCCTTTCTCAAATGCACCAATTGCTCTAAAAAGAGACAGTGCATCTCCTGCAAACGTAGAGGAGAGTAAGGCAGGTGCCAGTTTCCGAAGGGCCAAAAGGGAGAGCAGGTGCTGAATGGCGATAGGAAGGCAGAGAGCGATGGGTTGACTGGGAAGTGCGTGCTTTGGAAAGTGTGGGCTTCACCTTATTTCCCGTGAATGTAGAGCTGGGAGAACAGCTGCGGATGCCTAATTGTAATGCCTAATTACTCCTAGCACCCACTCTGAAACGCTCTTGGGCATCAGGGCCCTTTACCAGCATGTTGCTCTACAGCAGATGCGCTGCATGAGTTTTCTCTTCCCAGACCTGTGCCTGTGCACTCACATGGTGCACACGTGAGAGTGCACTCCGGAGTTGAGGAAACTCCATCTGCAACAACCCTCAACAACGAGCAGTCCACCCATGCATGCATGCCATTGCATCAAAGCACGTCCTCCCCTTGCCCCCCGCCGCTCCCCAGCACACAGAGACAGGAACACTCTGCAGATATGGCCTCAGGAGACATTTATTTGACAGTTGCAGCCTGTCAGCATCCAAAGAGCATTTCCCCGTGCCCGGAGGCGCATGTGGTGGAGCAGGGACTCTTCATCACCCAGCTGGTCCCGGGAAGCTCAGTGGTACTTGCGGGCCAGAGCGTGAGCCACGACACCGACCAGTTTTTGCCAGGCAAACTGGCAAGCAGGGGTGAAATCCCTGGCAAAGTGGGAAGCCAGGACAATGATTAGGATGTCTCCGAGGAGCTGGAGGAGAAAGAAGGAAGCACAGGCAGAGTTAGTGCTGCGTGGACCATTGTGCCTCTGTAGACGAAGGAGCAGGGACCAGGCACCCCTGGGGCAGTGCTGCACGGGCTGATGGCAGTGGTGGGGCTGGGAGGCATTGCCTGCTGGCTTCCCGCAAGGAGGGCTTTGCTCGCTCCCTGGCTTCACATGACTCCACCAACTCCCACCCGTTTTTGCCATTTCTCTTTGGTTCTGAACAGCTTTTTCCTTTGTGCAAGGTTTGTCTCCCAGATTTTCCTGCTGCAAAACTATTTCCTTTCTGCTCTGCCCTTCTCCCTTGCAGCCTGTGCGTGGCTCCTCCTGCCATCCTCTCTTGTCCATCCCCAAACACCACCCTCTAACCTGCAGGGCTGCGTTTTCCTTCTCCGGACTTCCCCCTGAGGCTGTATTCCCCTCCTGAAAGGGCTCTTGCATGCTACACACCTTCCCGTCCCTTCCCAGCCCTCCTGCCCATGTGCTGCAGTCTGTCTACAGGAACGGACTCACTCCTCAGTCCCTGGGACTACTAAGACAAAATCCTCAGTCTTTCCATAGAAAGCTCTGGATTTTGAGAAAGCAGTCTGTGCTTTGCTCTTAAAAAAACAAAAACAAAAACAAAAAGCCCTTTGAAAAAAGTGAACTATTTTCCCCCACTTTTGGGATCCTAAAGCGATTTGGCCTAAGCCCCTCTGCAAAATGCTTCATATGTTTTTTTTTTCTTTGGATGTAAATGAAAAAATTGTCCAAAAAAATTTTTAAGTGTTAGGGAATTTAGGGAAAGAAGGAATTTCCCAGTCAGACAGGTCCCATATATCTTGTCCCATATGTCCCATATGGGACAAGAGAGAGATCTGATCTCTTGTTTTGGAGCAGGTTAGCTGCTCATCTTGCTGTAGGACCTATAATTTTCTTAAATGATCTGCTTGGCTTCCCTCCTGCACCTTCTCTGAATTTGCTTTTTCTGTCTCCAAACCAAGAACCTCCCGATACCTTCTCCTCCCCAGAGCTGTATTGCTGCTACTAGAGGGGCCCTGTGAAAGTCATTCGCTCTCCTGCAAACAGTCCTGCTACAGCTGTTGTCTCTTTTGGGTGTTACACAGGGGCTCTGCCTTCACCAGACCACAGGAAGTACCCCTGGACAGCTTTGCTGTGGACAGGCCCTCCAGGTTCAAAGCAAAACCTGGTGATCCCAACACTTTGCAGGGAAGGGGTGAGGATACCAGCATTGCTCACCCTGAAGTTCTCGGGGTCCACGTGCAGCTTCTCACAGTGCAGCTCGGACAGCTTGGAATAGGTCGTCTTAATGTTGTCCAGGTTCTTCACAGCCTCCCCGAAGGAGGTGAGCACTTTCCTGCCATGGGCACGGACCTTGGGGTTGCCGAGGATGGCGGTGGGGCTGGAGAGGTTGCCGAAGGAGGAGAAGAACCTCTGGGTCCAGGGGTAGACAATCAGCAGCCTGGGGAGAGAGGGATGGGGGGAGGACACAAGCAGAAACACAGACACCGTTAATGCTCCCTGCCTGCAACTGCACCGTTTCTCCATGCAAGGTGGCTGCAGAGCCGGGAACCAGGAGATCGACCTACCTGGCCAAGGCCTCGGCACCGCATTCCTCCACGTTGACCTTGTTCCAGACGCTGGCGATGAGCTGCTTCTCCTCGGCTGTCCAGAGATGGGATGGCCAGGGTGTGGCAGGCTGAGAAGAGGCCTCTGGTTATCCTGAGTTCAAGAGCTTTATCCCTTCCTTGCTGTGCAGGCAGGTCTCCTTTCCAGCTACCGAAGGTAGACCCCTTTGCAAAGAGAGGGCTGCACAAGTCACTGTGCAGTAGCCAACTGCAATTTAAACCACATGCATGGGATTCAGCAGAGCATGGAGCCTTGTGCCTTGACTCTTCCAAGTGGTGGACTCTGCCCTGCCTTAACCTCTATTAGCAAAATGATGAATTCCCCCATGAAATTGTAGCCAGTGGCAAAGCAACCTGGTGGGCAGCCACAAGCAAACCACTCTGCTACACACAAATGTGCTGCAGGACCGCAGTCACCTTGCACCACCAGGAAGCATGAGGAATGTTGTGATCGCTCAGGGAGCATAAAGGGTGCTTAGGCTTTGTGGCTAAGTTCTGCATTAATCATTCTTCCTCTTCCTCTAACAGAAATTCACCACGGTGTTTTCCTTTCGGAATAGGTGGAAACGCCCCCAGATGTTTTCCCCCCAGCTACAGCACGACCAACAAGATCACGACCAACGGGACCAAGCTGCAAATGTGAAACAGGATCACCCTTCTCAGCCCAGTTGTGCTTTAACCTGCTTCCAAAAAGGGCAGGTAAAACAGCCTTTTAGCACAAGCTTTGCCACTGCAGGACCTGCTGGGGGCACAAAAAGCAGCAAAAAGTCAGTTCAGAGCTGTCCCTTCCCTGGTGGAGCCCAGGCTGCTTTCCCCCGACAAGGCTGGTGCATTTTACACTTCCTCCAAGTTCAGCCAGGCTGTGTCCAGCCTCTTTTGGCAGGAGGAGGCATTTGCACCCCAGGTGAACTGCTCCTCCTGTGCAACCCCTGAGCACACTGGGGGCGATGCACCCCCCCAGCAGCAATGTCCCTGCAGGCAGGGCTCTCCTGTTTCGTTTTTTAAATAAAACCCCGAGAACCAGAGTCTTTGCAGAAAACACAGGGCGTATGAGCCTGATCCCAGCACAACTAGGGTAAACAGCTGGCTTCCTGCTCGTTTTCCTGGGATTTGGATTGGGGTAAGTAAGAGGTGCAGGTCTTCTTGTCCCAGCAGGTAGGATGACCAGTGGCAGTGTAAGAGGAGTGTGTTTGCATGGCCATGTCACAGCAGGCTAAAGAGCTGGCCAAGCTCCTGTCCATAGAGCTGGGCTTGCCTTCCTCTGTGGACCATGTCCTGCTAAGAGACTGCTTGGCCTTTTGCTGAAAATACAGAAAGGGGAGGAAAATCAATTGAAAGAAGGAAAACATTGAGCTAGATTTTTCAGTCTAATAATATTTCTTTTCCCCTTAAGTTGTAGAACTTTTTTTTTTTCATAGAGGGAGGACTGAAAAATCTTCATTAGAGTAGCTAACATCTGTCTTTTGCCAAGAAAATTTAGTGCATGTGGGCTGGTGTGCTAGAGCATGACAATAAATCGAGACGAACCCTGCCTTGCTGTGTGCATGGGCAGGGGGGGAGAAGCAAAAGAGCAAGGAAAAATGCAGCCTCGCTGGAAGTGGCAGCGCCGCGCTGGGGAGGGCAGACACCACGCACCATCTTATCGGCCGCACCAGGACCCGACCGGAGCGTGCCAGCTCCAGCTCCTTAAGACGTTGCTTTTAGCTGTCCATGGGGCTGCTGGCTGCCCGCAGTGGGGTGCTGCTGTGGGCCAGGCTGCTATTGCACAGCAGGCAAAACGAGCATCGGGTGAAGATGCATCCAGGGGCACCTGATGCATCCAGGTGGATCTGCTTGTTGGAGATAGGAGCAGGGGTATCATCCCCCGGCTGGGCTGAGGAGCAGGAGAGAAACCACTGGTGCCAGCAGCGTCCATGGGGCATCACCCCATGCTGCGGTGGCCACCAGGTCCTGGTGGATGGAAACCCCTGCTCCTGGGGGGGGTACCCAAAGTGGAGCCCCAATAGCAGGGAAGGGGGAGCAGCTCATCCTTTCCCCATTTGCTCACCTGTAAAGTCCAACATGACAGGTCCGGTTGGTTCATTTCTGGCCCCAGATGCCGTGTTTGCCAGACAAATCCTGATGTGTCTGGGGGAGACCTATTTGTTCAACGAATTTAGTCATTTCTGCCTGAAATCTATGAACAATTTCATGGAAGAATCTGGCTAATTTTTGTGGCCCCAAACACCTGGAAAAAACAGTGTACTCCGTGCCTGCCCAGCCACTCTGTAGCGAGGAAAGCACTTAATGATGATGATGATGATGATAATAATAATAATAATAATAATAATAGTAGTAATAATAGCAGTTCATAAATTATATTCTTATGTTCTCCATGTCTGCCTTGACACCAGAAACAAAGTCCCCCTTCCCCAGAGCTGTGGGTGCAAGAAGGAGGATTTAAGGGTTGCAGGGGGCATCTGACACCTTTCAGTGGGGCGGGAGGGGGGACGCTGATGAATGCAGATGAAGTAGGGCTAGCACAGAGCATAGACAGGGTGGACGAGATATTGGGATGTATAGCTATGCCCTCCTTTTTTCCCTTTAAATGCAAGCACGTCCTTTCAGCTAACAATTGCTTTTACTGAATCATGCTCGGTTCAGGCACAACCAAGGTGCCTCCCACACCAAGAACAAACTCCTCTAAGCAGTCTTGCTCTGCAGACACCCAAACAACTTTGCGCACAGAGAGCATCCATTGATACATCCAGAAAATTATTAGTATTCACCACTATTAGCAAGATTGGGCCCCTAAAAAGTGGCGGAATGGGTGGTGATGGGTGAAGAAGAAGTGCATAAACAAGGTCTGGACAGGTCTTGATAGCAACATGCAAAATGTTTATCTATAGCCTGCCCCCACCCAGCTAGGCCAGTATGAGTCAGCTCATTTCTTATGGGCTTTATGCCAGAAATGAGCTGGGGTGGATTAAAGTCTTCACTTTGTTTATCTTCCTCAAAAAATATGAATCCTCTGAGCCCCCCATGACTGCCAAAGAATACCCGTATTTTACAGTAAAACACAGGCTAGTTCCATAATGCAAACTTTCCTGGGGGAAGGGGTATGTGTGTAGAGGCAGCAGGGCTATCTGCCCAAAGCTCCTGGTGCATGGGCACGATCTCAGAGCACAGGCAAACCTCACATAATCCCTTAAAAGATAAGCGAGAACAAAAGGAGCTGGTTGTTCCCTGGGAGGGAGATGTCCGCGCTCCTGGAGCTCACCCCGCGGATGCCCCAGGCCCTCCAACCCCTCCCCCCCATCCAGAAACACAGACACGCAGTGGAGACTTCACGGGATGAATTTTATTTGGTTGTTACAAGCTGTCGGCTCCAGAACAGCATTTCAGCCGGTGCACGGAAACGTGGCTGGAAAACGCTTCCCAAGGTTTTCCTGCCAACGCTTTAGTGGTACTTGCGGGCCAGAGCGTGGGCCACCACGCGGACCAGCTTCTGCCAGGCAGCCTGGCACTCGGGAGTGAACTCCTTGGTGAAGTGGGCAGCCAGGACGATGATCAGGATGTCACCCAGGAGCTGGAGGGACAGAAACCCCCCCCCAGTTAGCAGTGCTTGGGAGCCTTCAGATCCCCTGGCAAGCACTCGCACCAGCCCTGGGGAAACCTTCAGGCATTCTGTAGGCTTAAAAATCTTCCTGGATCCTGTGATCCTTTTTAAGATGTTCCTTAAACTTGCTCTCTAAAGATTCAGCTTTTAAAAAGTGATTAATCCTTTTGTTCTGTCTGAAGAGCAAGCTGCACTTTAAATGCACTGCAGTTCAAAAAGCACCAGCCCCTGTCTAGTCTGGGCCACCGAGTCTAAACCTCCTTTGCAGCTCCCCCTTTGACCCCAAGCCAGCTTTCCTCCTTCTGGTGCTACTATGGGAAGAGTAACCCAAAATTCTCTAGAGATGTTGTTGATTAATTTTTTTCCTTTCTTCCTTCTGGCTTTGTTTGAGGGTTTCTCCCAAGCAGAAGATGCAGCGGGGTACCTGTGCCGAGTGGCAGGAAACTGGCGCACGGTGCAGCACGAAGCACCCCGGCATTAGCAGCAGAGCTCCTGCTGACCTGGGGGAAACCCTCGACAGCCGATGCCGGGGTTATTTTCCCATTAGGAAATTCTCAGGTGCAGAGATGTGGGAGCCCAACTTTCCTCTCCCTATAAGTCCTGCTCCCCTTTTGCTTTTGGCATCTAGCTGCTGCCGCTTGATGCTCGCTGCTCTCCTTCGTGCCAGGTTTCGCTCTTGCTTCTTTGCTTTCCCTTGTCTCAAACCTCTTCCTGCTCCAACAACTGCTTTCACTTTTCTCTCCCCCTCCCTTTCCGTGCTTAAACCACCTCCTCATCGCCTTTCCTTCTCCTTTCCATCCTTGCTTTCACCCTCCAGATGGCTCGTCCGTAACCGCAACCACTCAGCCCTTGGTGCTTTCCCACGCTGCAGCACGGCCCCTTCCCTCCTCTCCTGCCCCTCACCTTGTCCTCCAGCCTCCAGGGAACCCCTCTCCTGCCTGGAACGCCACGTCTGCACCCCCCGAGCAGTGCAAACCCCCACACGTGGGCACCGCAGCGCGGCCGAAAGCACGGGGAGACGCTCGTGGGCAGAGGCTGACGCCAGGGCAGGCAGGGGGTCCCCGGCTGGGACCGTCACTCACCCTGAAGTTCTCGGGGTCCACGTGCAGCTTGTCGCAGTGCAGCTCGGACAGCTGGGCGAAGGTGTTCTTGATGTTGTCCAGGTTCTTCACGGCATCCCCGAAGGAGGTGAGCACTTTCTTGCCATGGGCGCGCACCATGGGGTTGCCGAGGATGGCGGTGGGGCTGGAGAGGTTGCCGAAGGAGGCGAAGAACCTCTGGGTCCAGGGGTAGACGATCAGCAGCCTGGGGAGAGAGGGATGGGGGGACACAAGCAGAGACAGATGTAGTTAACTACATCTCCAAGGATGGGCTCATCTCCGTCCTGGTGCCCAGGAGCCCAACCTACCTGGCCAGGGCCTCAGCACCACAGTCGGCCACATTGACCTTGCCCCAGAGGCCACTGATGAGCTGCTTCTCCTCGGCTGACCACTGCACCATGGTGTCGGATGGAAGGTAGCGTGTAGCTGCAGGGAGGTACGGAGGAAGTCTCGGCTCTCGCTCCCAAGGGGATTGCCCTGTGGCCAGCGGCTCTCCCCGTCCCCACTTTTATATGCTCTGCTGGGCCCCTCCTCTTCCCCGCGCACCCCTCCATTGGCTACGCCTGGGGGCCCAGCCACCCTGGCACCCCAAGGGAGGGGACGTGGCGTCAGGGTGGGGCCCGGGGCAAAGTGCCCAGAGCAGCCGCTGCCACTGCGGGCTTGCGGGCCGCTCTCCCCGCTGCCCCCCATTGCCATCTCTGGGGCATTTACCTCCATGCAAAGGCTGAGCGTGGCGCCAAGCCTCACAAAAGCCCTTGGAGGAAGGTGCGTGCAAGGCTTGGGCTACAGTGGTGCCCCTCAGATGGTTCAAAGCCATGGCGGACTGCATTACTGTGAGGCAAAAGACCAGGACCTGGTGGTGTTGGATCTGTTCCTCTGAAAGTACCAATATGTGCAAGTGGTTTCTCCCTCTTCTTCTTCTTTTAGAGCCTGTCAGCCTTGGGTTTGCCTCTTTCTCTTTTATTATTTGACAGTTTGCTAACTGCAAGGTAGCACTAAGAAAAATGTAGGTAATGTCTACTGCAGTTAGAGAGAGCTCCTGCCTCAGCAAGAGGCAAGAAGAGCATACTGGAAGGGAAGCATTATAGCAAGGGGCACACTCATTACCTGGATGATCTCAGCTTGCAGAGGCTCCAAGGGAGGTGGGGAAGACCGGCTATACCAGGGACTATATATGGCAGGAGACAGTGCCTGTCCTGGTGACTTGGCAGATGAAGGAGGAACAAGAGTAAGAGGTGGGGCAGGGAGCTGGGTCTCCTGCCAGGGAGCGGAGCTGGTTGGAGGTGGTGGGGTGGGATGGAGTCTTTGGGGCAGCTGTATCCCAGCGAGGCCTTGTAGGGGCAGAGCAAGACAGCATAAAGTAATATTAGGTGTCTGGGGTCCAACAGCATCGGGAAGGCCAGAGTGTAACGCATTTGTGTGGTGGCACAAAGTGGCCCCAGGCTGCAGCTGTTTCTGACGGTGGCACCGGTTCTCGTTTATCTGCTCTCTCTGTGACAGGGGTGCAGCAAAGGACCCTCAGGCCAGGTGTGCACGGGGGGGGTCTCGCTGCTCCAGCAGCACTGGCATCCCCAGTTCTCCATGGAGGAAGCTGCAGAGTTTACTGAAAACCTGCTTTAGAACCATTCCCTCCGCTTTCTCCCCCATAACAGGGCATGAGTGCGCAGGGGAGAGGAACCCACCACACGGACACCCTGAGCGTGTCCCCAGGGCAGCTCTCTGGGTGGTAGAGGGTGTCGCAAGTCTTACGACTGGTTTGAAAGGAGGCAGGACACTGGGGAACGTCCTGGCCTCTTGCATGGCATGGGGACTGTTAAGTGAACCTAGCTCTGCTGTGAAAGGTTGCATGTAGGGGCCAGGGAAAGTAGATATTCTGTCCTTCATGTACCTGAAATTAGCATCCTTGGCCTTAAAAGATACTTGTGTCTATTACATTCTGCCTTTAATAATGTGAGAATGATAACAGTTTAGACAAAGAGCAAAAGAACCTTTTTCCTTCCCTAAAAGAAGTTACAAACAATGGACCTAATCTCACTGACACTTGTCCCACTGCGCATTCGTATGTAAAGAACTGCTCCACTTAATCTGCAAAAGGCTTAAAATATTAAACAAAGTGATGTTGCCTGGTCCCCCAATAAACCACCAGAGTATTTTAATTTGCATTTTTTGTGTGTTTATTTGTTATGGCCTTGAATGTTCCCCTAGATTTTCCCACTTAGACAGGTCTCCCTTGCATGAATGCATACAAGCCAGAGACGGCTTACATTATCCCTTACATCTAGGCATCCCTGTTGCCCTAGCACTGCTGGGTCTTCCCTGTAACCCCATTCCCACACAGAGGCGGACACCTGTTTGAGAGTGAAGCAGTTGGTGTTTATTTGGCAATTCGGGCCCAGGAGACCTGAAGGACATTTCTTGGCGAAGAGCTGCACCCAGAAGTGGGAGGATCACCCCATTTCGTGCAGGGGCCAGGTGGCTCAGTGGTACTCATGGGCCAGTGCATGGGCCACAACACGGACCATCTTCTGCCAGGCGGACTGGCAGGCGGGGGGGAACTCCTTGCCAAAGTGGGCAGCCAGGACAATAATGAGGATGTCACCCAGGAGCTGCAGGGATGAAGGGAGGAGAAAGCCATTAGTCCAACACCACCTTTTGCCCTGAGTCACACTGCTCTGGTCTGCACGGGGGCACACCAACAGACCAACATCACTGCCCACCTGGGATGACAGCCCAACTTGAGATTTTGGAGGATTAGTTGCAAAGCAAGGAACGGATTTATCACCACCCAGGGCAGAGCACCAAATTTCCTGCACAATTTGAGTCTCTGGCACTCACCAGGGTGCCTGAATGTGCTGGATCGTCCTCCCCAAACACCCTCCTTTTCTGTGCCAGTTCTGGCCAGTTCTGTGCCAGTGTCCTCTCTCTGCTTCAGCTGGGGTTGTCCTCTCCTTTCGTTCCCCCACCTCCCCACTCTTTTCCTTGGCTCAGATCCCTCCCTTCTGCAGAAATGGCAGTGTTTATTTTCTCCCTTGATTTAACCGTTCCCCCATACCCAAGATCAGCTCTTTGCTTCAAATCCTGCCTCCGCTTCTTCCCTTCTGGTCTCTAGCTGCTCCAAGCCAACATTGCTTCCCCCCCCACTTGCTCTGCAGGTTGCACATATGCTACTCGGCGTTTCACTCGCACTCATCTCACCTGCATGGGTCCCTTGCCTCACAGATCTCAAATCCATAACTCCTGCTGGTTCTCTTTGAATACACCTATTCACTCCTCCTCCCCTTCTCCCTGATCACAGCTGATTTCCAGGCTCAGGCACCCTCTGAGATTTTTATTCCTGGATCTCTAGTGACTGTGATGCTCACCAGAAGCCCCCAGAGCCCTCTCCAGAGAACAGAAATCTTTATTCAGTTAAGACTGGCATCTGAGCATTGCTCACCCTGAAGTTCTCGGGGTCCACGTGCAGCTTGTCGCAGTGGAGTTTGCTCAGCTGAGCAAAAGATTTCTTGATGTTGTCCAGGTTCTTCACGGCTTCTCCGAAGGAGGTGAGCACTTTCTTGCCATGGGCGCGCACCATGGGGTTGCCGAGGATGGCGGTGGGGCTGGAGAGGTTGCCGAAGGAGGAGAAGAACCTCTGGGTCCAGGGGTAGACAATCAGTAGCCTGGGGAGAGAGGGATGGGGGGACACAAGCAGAGACATAGGTGTTGTTAATACTCCCTGCTGCAACTGCAGCATTTTCTGCATCCAGGGTGGCCACTGAGCAGATGCCTCAGAGCCAGACTTACCTGGCCAAGGCCTCAGCACCACAGTCGGCCACATTGACCTTGCCCCAGATGCTGGTAATGAGTTGCTTCTCTTCAGCTGTCCAGTGCACCATTTTGTCGAGCAAGCGGGTTTGCTTGGGGCTTCCCTGAACAATGACAAGGAAGTAGAGCTGAAGCCTGCCCCAGGGATTTTTATATACTAAGAACAGCTTGTCCTAATCTCAGTTGACGTGGCCATTGGTTGGGGCTGGGGTGGGAGCTGGGCTGTACAAGGAAAGATAGCAATTTTGGATGCTGTCCAAGGGGAAAAGAGGCCCTTTCCCCCCTTCTGCCTTTGAGTGGACAAGCAGCATCTCACATCCATGCGCTTACAGTCGCAGCCCTGAATGCAGGTGGAGCTGCCGGCACGACTCTTCCATGGCTATTGATTTCCAGTATTGCGGACGGGGAATGCATACGCAGTGCAGACCCAAAGGGACAAACAGTGGTGGTCATAGATTGCAGACTTCACCTCGGCCTTGTTTTTAGACCCTTGATAGTGTATAGGTACCCTGAACTCCATAGGAATTCATCCTGAACAGCTCTAAAGATCATTAAACTCAGCTCTAAGGAGCAGAGGCTTGCTGGGGAAGAAGAACTGAATGAGCATCCCCAAATCTAGGCCCTGTACTTTAAACATAAGAGCTTCCTTTCTTGTCTGTCCTAACATAAAGCTTCAGAGTTGTAGTCCATGCTGTTCTGACTCTAAGCTCTGCTAGAGCCCATCTCTATTCCTTGTGGTCAGAGAAAGGGAACCCATCTTGAAGGTACAACTGCAAATTATGGGTCCTCAAGGCACTGCATCACTCCTGGCCCTGCTGATATGAGGAGTGTAAGCCAGACACACTCTTCCTTGACTTTGAATCTAAGTGAGACCACCTGGACACAAAGATGTTTTAAGGAAGCCTCTCACAGGATGAGAGGGAAGTGTTTGTCATGCTGTGCCAAACTGAGTTAATTTCTGTAGTTTCTGTCCAGTTCACAAAGCCAAAGGGAGATCACCTCTCCTCCCAGCACACCCACAGCAACACCTGGCAGTATCCATGTCCCCAGCCAAGCTCCAGAAGGAGGAATAAGGGCCCTGTTGTCTGCTGTCCACATGGAGTGGATTTTGCTACCCTCAGGACTCTTGTCTTGAGCATCCTTGCAGTTGTCTATCTCCTCATCGTATGGGTGGGACAGACCTCAAGGTCCTACCTTGACTTTGTGGCCCCACACTGGGCCATTCCCATTGCCAGGGACAGGAACCTTCCCCTTTTTATAGGGAAATCATCCAGCTGGCAGTGAATGGCAATTAAAGTGATGACCTTTAAATGAAACAAGCAGAATTTACTGGTCACTCTGATTGCAGCAGGCAGTGTCCCGCGCCAAGCTTTACCAGAGCCCTTATCAGCAGGAGTGGCAGATATACCCAGCCTCTGCTTCTCTGGATCCACGCCAGCCTCTCTTCCCTCTCCTCCAGAACACGCAATTTCCTCTCTGTTAAGCCAGGCTGTCTTGCTGGTGTCCTTGCTCCTGCTTTATTTGCTGTGTTCTTCGTTCCTCAGTTGAAGAGCCCTGGGTGGCATCATTCAACTCTCTGACAACATCTTGCGGTCTCTTAACCTTGAGCAGGAGCTCACTCATTCCCCCAGGGTGGATGCAGCAGACAGCAAAATGCAAATGTGCACGTACAGAGGTCATAAAACCGTCCTGCAGCAGCCAGTTCTGCCTTGCTCATCAGCCCCCCAGCCAGACTGTGGAGGGCTGGACCCACTTAGAAAGGACTCTGGGCTCCAAAAGGTCATGTGTGCCCCAGTGACCATTGCAATGAAACGCTAGCCCTGCCTTTGCCCCATGCCTGGGCTCTGCTCCCAGAGGGGACATGGTCTGCACAGTGAGCTGGCTTGGGAATGCACTTATGATCCCAGCTTTGGTGGAGTGACTTTGGGAGAGCCACTTCCCCTGCTGATGCCTCCATTCCCTGGCTACAAAGGACAGATGTACCACTGAAGTCCTTCCCTCCGCAAAGAGCTTTCAGAGCTGCTGATGAAAACACTGCTAGGATGAGGTAGCGTCATTTTGACACCAGACCTCCGCTGTGTTCATCCAGCCTGATGTCCAGGACTCACCCCTATCCCCTCTCTTTGTGGCTGCTGGTGTTCATGACTGCTCTGGCTTCACGCAAGAGAGGAGCGATGCTTGCTTGGAAAGCCGGGAACGTGAAAACCCCTTTTCTGGATCTGCAACACCAACACCACATCCTACCCCTTGCCTGCACCTTTAATTGCAGAATAAGGTCAATGAGTCTCTTTTAGCAAGTACTCTTGTGTGGGAGGAATCGGAGGCATACAGTTAACCTTCAGCCTCCACAGAAATCATTTTCCCAGAACTTCAAAGCCAGATGGGACCATTGGGAGCTGTCTGGACCTCCTGTTTGACGCAGCCGACATAGGCCAGTATTTGAGCACAGCAGGTGAGATTAAAGTGAAGCTCCTCGGTTGTCTGAAGACTAGACAGAAGAGTGACTTCATGGGTCATGGAGCAGGACACACATGGGGACTGCCAATGCCCGAAACCCCTCACAAGGGGAAAGTGCCTGAGCGAGAGAGTCCTACCTGAGACCAGCAGTGGACTGAGGTCCCAAAGGAAGAGGAATCCATTAGCATCCCTGCCAAACCTCACTCATACGAAAAATTATTTCTGATCCCAAATGAAGAGACCAATAGACCAGCATACACCTAGCTAATGGTGAAGCAGGGAAAGCCTTTCCAGTCCCTGTAATCCTCAGCTGAAACATGCAGCATAAGCTTTGACCCTAGTTGTTTCCCATCACAGTTTTGGGCATGCTGAGGGCAATGACCACTAGTGGGATGTCTCCATGGCACAGGATGGAAGAGGAGGATCGCAGTGAGTCTGACATTCACAGATCCTGAGACTGAAACATGCTGCCGAGGCTCATGGTAACTCTGCGAGAAAATATTTGCAAGGCTGAGATTCAAGGTACAAAGGCACAGGCAAATAGACAACCTATATGGGGTTGGCCTGCACCCAGTCTAATGCATCTATAGGCATTTTGTTAGTTATACCCACCTGTGCCTCGAGCAGGTGACAAACAGAAGAGGAGGCCTTTTCTTTTGCGGTGGCAACTGCTAAGGTTTTGAAATGCCCTTTGTGCTAACTTGAACAAACCTAAGACATTTAGAACAGTCTTACTCCTAGAATTATGCTGAAATGCCCACTTGCTAATCAAAATGAGATTGATGGGTTGTAGGAAATCTGGACCTCTTTTCCTTTTCCTCTTCCTTTTCCTTTTTCATTTTCTTTTCCTTTTTCTTTTTCTTTTCCTTTTCCTTTTCCTTTTACTTTTTCATTTTCATTTTCATTTCCTTTTCCTTTTCCTTTTCCTCTTCCTTTTCCTTTTTCATTTTCTTTTCCTTTTTCTTTTTCTTTTCCTTTTCCTTTTCCTTTTACTTTTTCATTTTCATTTTCATTTCCTTTTCCTTTTCCTTTTCCTCTTCCTTTTCCTTTTTCATTTTCTTTTCCTTTTTCTTTTCCTTTTCCTTTTCCTTTTACTTTTTCATTTTCATTTTCATTTCCTTTTCCTTTTCCTTTTCCTCTTCCTTTTCCTTTTCCTTTTTTTCTTTCTTTTTTCTCTTTTTTTCCAGTACAGGATGTTCTAGGCATGGCCAGCAGGGCTGGATCCTCAGCCTGTCAGGCTGGCTGTTCATGTAGGATAGCGGGATTATAAGTGCAAATCCCTGCTCTACTTGGAGGAAGGCAGAAAATTTATTCCTAAATCATACAGAACATGGATTTCATCATTCTGAAATGTTCAGGCATACCTGTCCTCGATGCTTTTTAAGTTAGTCCTGAAAGTGATGCACTTATGCAGAATCCTTTCATTCCAGTGAAAAACCCATTGCACCATCAATCTAATCTGTAAAAGATGTTCTGATCAGTTCTATTTAAAAAATGCCCTCAGCCCCCCCCCCACCCCGATCATGCACATTTCCTTTAGCTGTCCTATTCTGACCAAGATGACTGTAATGTGAAGAATGTTTTTACTGCTGCTTCAAAAAATGTTTTTTGTTGACTTCTTGACAGCAGTACTAAAACATGAGGGGTCAAATTTCTGTCAGCCTCAGCTGGCTTCAGTGAATCTGTATGAATTTAAACCCTCACATGCGTCACAGGTTGAGATGTTCTAGGGCCAGGGGGCCCTTGCTTGCCCACAGCCTGGCCTTCTGCTCAGGATGGGCCAGAAATCCTTCCCCAGCGGTTTCAGCAGGCTTAGAAGCACTAGCTGAAGTGGAACGTGCTCTTTACAAAAGTGTCCATCTCTGATTTAAAAGTTAACATCCCCAGATGTCCCACTGGATCCCCTTTACAGACATGTGTGCTTATGTGTGGGGCAGCACACACTAGTTGTGTGCTGAGGTCTCAGAGGCTCTGGGAGGATAAGAAAGAGCTCTAGAGAGAAGGCAGAAACCTTTAGAAGAGTGCCCAAATAGCCACTGAAAGTAGCCTCTACATTGCGACAAGCCTGGATGCATTCCCAGAGCATGGTTCCACCAGCCCTGAATTGCTTCTTTCCCCCTCAGTGCCCCCGGGCCTGTCCTCCCCTAGCCCCCAAAGCAGCCACAGAGAAGGAGGAGATCATTAAGAAGTTGAGCCAATGTTTTTTATTGTCTGTTAGAGCCACGTGTCCCACCAGAGGGTCTAATGGTACTTGTAGGCCAGAGCGTGGGCCACCACGCCAACCAGCTTCTGCCAAGTGGCCTGACAGGCCGGGGTGAAGTCCTTGGAGAAGTGTGCGGCCAGCACGATGATGAGGATGTCTCCCAGGAGCTGGAGAGGGGAAGGAAGAAAAATCAGGTCAGCACCATGCTGAGCACTTCCCTTCACCACGCTCAGGACCCAGTGACCAGGGGCTGAAGAAAAAGCCCAGTTGTTTTGGCAAGGACAGAGAGGCACCTGGATCCTGAAGGTGGGACCCAGGGGAGCTTTTTTAGCTGAATTCTCTGCGCAGGAAAAGAATTGTCTCCTGACCACATGCACTGGTATCTACCTGCTCTGTCCTCTTCTCACACCTGCTTTTTCCAGGCTCCAGTCTTTATTTTCACACTTTTCTGACTTTTTTTTTCTTTTGTCCACTATGAAACCCCAGGGCTTCTTGAGCAGAGGATGAGGTCAGTGCAAGGCCTCCCTGTTACCTCCCCAAAATACGGCTTAAACAGAGGCTGAAACAGAGGCTTCCAGCCCCAGCACATCCAGCTCCCTCAACCGCTTCCTGAACTGCTCCCTGTCTTCACTCACTGTTGCTTCTCACTCCCCTGCACCTCCATCTCCTTCGCTTTGATCCCTCTCCTGTCCCCCTCCCTCATCTGCTGGCTGTGGTCCCCTCGTGCAATCTGTCCTCCCTGTCTCTAATCCCAGTCTGCATCCCTAGGGCCTCTGCTCCCATTGGTGCCTGGTCCCTGCTGACCCCACACTTGCTTTTTTCTCTCCTCACATGACTGGCCAGCCTTATAAAAAGGGAAGCTGAAGTCCTTCCCACCCCTGGGGTCAGGAGGTGACATGGGACAGAGTGGAAATGGTCCGCAGGCCCTCCCCACCCTCCTCTCCATCTCCAGCCCAGCTCTGTTCTTTCCAGTCCTTTCCTGTTTTTTTCAAGCCATGCCTGCACCAGACTGCAGGCTTTCAGAGCACCTCCCTGTCCTTGTCCTCAAATCTGTCACAGCCTGGATCCTTTTCCCTGGCACCATCAAACTCCCAAACTCTCCCCGTCTCCCTCTTAAAAATACATTTCCCACCCAAGCCAGTCCCTTTCTGTTGTGTTTCCTGAAATCAATGCTATTTATGCTCCTTTAAAATGCTCCAGGCACTGAGCTGTTCTGAGGGGTGGAGGGAGGAGGGAGAGGAGGAGAAGTCCTGAGCATTGCTCACCCTGAAGTTCTCGGGGTCCACGTGCAGCTTGTCGCAGTGCAGCTCGGACAGCTTGGAGTAGGTCGTCTTGAGATTTTCCAGGTTCTTCACAGCCTCCCCGAAG